AACTCTGAGAGGAAATTAAAAACTACTAGATAAAACACATTGCGTGCGACAGGCCCTTATTTCCACTAGCTACGATTTCCTCCTCACGAGCTGACGACGCCACTGGCTTCCTGAAGCGGCTCAGTCGAAGAATTCCGGTTATGATACACGATTAGGCCTATATAAGTCTTCGCCGCTCTCATCCTTGAGACCCCAAGTCTCAGACAGAACGAGCTCATTTATATAAGAGCCCCACGTCGCACATGCTTGATACAACAAACAGAGTGCCGTAGAGTAAGTCTTCGTTTGCAGTGCTAGGCTCGCGATGGAGTGCGCTAGCACTCTTCCCCCAGTCCAAACCATCAAACTGTTGTGTGGTGTAGGTTGAAGCAAAAGTAGATACACCAAAGGATAAGTGGTGTTGTGCATAGTAGCACATGTGGGCATGGAAGTTCTGTAGATTTCAGAGGGATTGTGTGATGCTGTGAGTGTGTGTAGGCATTGAGTGGCGATGATAGAACTATCTTAAAATGTATGTCGCGAGTAGACGATGTCGTTTCGATGGATGTAGTTATTTAACAGCGAAAACATGAGAAATGTTATGGAAAATGCGGATTGTGTGGTTTGAGGTTGGTTACGTCAATAGCACTGTCATGAATGAGTCTTGGATACCGCTATTGGCTAATTAACTCTCTAAGCTGCGCAAACATCGCGTTTTGTACACAGACCTCGCTGGACAAAGCACACCACTCGCTCCTCTTATAGTCTGTGCTTCGTAGACCCACATGACTTCAGTGCGGCAGCTGGGCTAATTAGAAGGCGGTAGACGTAGAGCCAGAGTAATGCCTGCAGCGCAGTTCAGTAGAATAATCATTCGGCCAATCTTAGCATCGTCCACATATTAATAGATGATTGAAAAGTACTTTAGAATATTGCACTCCCCTTAAATAAAGCTTATAGAGTAGAGCCCAAGAGCACGACACGTGTGCACCTCACCCGGCACAATATAAAACACACAACCACACACACACACACACACACACACACACAGTCGCACCGCACGGCCCCACACAACTTGGTAGAATACCGAGGACCCACCACTCTCTCGACTGTACAATCCCTTTTAATTGATCATCTTCACAATGATGCTAATATAACATGTCATTTCTGGGAGCCGTATATCCTCTAATTGTAAGTCTTAAAGACGAAATCAAAAGACCTACCAGAATCTGTCTCTTTTCCTCCTCCTCGTTGTGTACCAACACCTCAAGTTCGAGTGCCCTGATTGAAAGTACGAACGCATCTCGAGTAGGTCTTGAATTTCATATTCGATCTATGCTTTAAGGACCAACAATTAAGGAGTGGCATATTACCTGAGCTCCCAGTGCATCTTACGTCCAGAATACTCAATATGATCAGTGCTGGGAACCAGCGGATTCCACTCAGAAAGGGTAGCAACCTTGACAGTCACACCTCAATTGTGATTCCGTAATTTTGCACACAGGATTGACTTTGAACACATTTTTTAAAATAGTGTACGGATGGGGGCGTGGTCTCGGTATACGAGGTTAGTCGGTGTATGAGTGATAGATGGAATGTGTGTGTTAGTGTGTGTGTGTGTGGTATATGTATATCATGTGCGGGATTGCTGGGCGTGATACGGGCGGGCTGCGGTATATAAAACAGGGTTGACCAATTATATCCACATCACACTCCGCTCTGGATGAGAACGGATTAAAATTGGCACATTTTAGCCAAAATAGGTCTGAGCCCTTGCCGTACGTTCTTACTCCCCTCTTCGCTCGCGAGCACTGCCGTGACCTACATATTCGTGAAGTAGGGGGCGTGTTTCAAATGGGGCTGTAAAGCCGTTTAGGCTAATACGCAGATGAGTCACTGTCCATGGCTAGATGGAACTCTGTGTCAACATACTACCTCACACACACACGACTGTCGACACAACCGCCGACACACAAGCACACACAAGCACACAACACACACAACACACACACACACACACACAAGCACACAAGCAAGCGACAACGACCTGACAACTCTCTTTGTCTTATGTGTCACACACCGGAAGTGTGTTGCCGAGTTGCGCACTCCACTGCACTCTCACACACCACTCACACCAGTTTTTTAAACTGGCAGGTATATTACGCACTGCTGGAGACTATGGAGAGCGAACAACAGTGTGAATGAGGTGAAAAGATCTCTGCACCACTGACGTTCAGCGGAGCTCTAGTTGCTGTAAACGTTGTGTCAGTGACGCAGCCTCAGCTGCTTTACAAAGTGCTGTCAGAGGCCAATTATTTCAATTAGTATTCTTCATTACTCACGAGAAGTCCTGCCGCTCTCCGTACTCGAGACTAATATCCTGAACTGAACATCAAAGGTGAGTATGGCAAGTATAGTGTGACGGCTCTTCAATAGAGTCCCATCTAGAGGGGCTCTGTTTCAAACGGAAACCGAAATGAGCATAAAGGAGGAGATCGGGGTGCATTTGCGATAAAGACGGCAACTTAGGGGTGATTTTTCTTACGGAGTTGTGCTTTATATTAGGCTGGATTGCGGGAATGCGCTGCTAGGTTCGTTCCCTATTTCTCAGTAGATGTGTACTGCTGTGGTGACATACCTGAATGACCTGGTAGGACCGCTGGACTCAACAGCAGCAGAGATGTACCTACAGGCTAGCGCCAGAGAAATACCAAAGGTCTAAAGTTGACTAAATGATGGTTTACCGTTAGTGAGAGCGAAGGAATGCAGATGTGAGCCCGACTTCCTTATCTTGGAAATATTACAGTATTTACACAAAGATGAATGATGAGAGGAGTTGAAGTCACCTCCTCTTGTTGTGAGTTAGGACTGATTATTCAAACAGAAAACAACTGTATAGAGTATGAATGTGTTGAGGATACTTTGATAGGTGGTGCTGAGCGAAGAGAGCAGAGAGCAGAAGTGCGTCATGTCCAAAACCACTGGCTTGTTTTTTGCTTTTGGCTCTTAACCATATGATTGTTCCCACAGTAACTAAGAAATAAGTGTGGATAGTTCATTTCCACCTGAATGGTGTCTGGCAGTTTTGGGAGCTTAAGATGATGATGTGAGAAAATAAGTCCATGGCAGGGAGTACCTCTTTCAAACCGACGGTGATTCAAGTTCCTGCAGAGAAGACAAGTAATTATCAATATCAAAGTTCACAATGAGCACAATAGGTGTTGAGTTTGGAGACAACTGACGGAACAGCGAGGTATGTCTTGTTACTGGCACTGACTGGTGCAACAAAGCTGATGGGTCAAAAGTGAGAGCTATCTCCTGTCGAGGCCACAAATTCGACGAATATGACCTTTGCTGTCGAGACTGAAAATAAAAGGAGTTTAATACGTCCAAATTCATACTCAGTCTATATCATGCCGAGATGGCTTTGTGACCTCCGACCGTGCCAAAACCGGCGCCATCTCATTGGGATCTGTTCTCCGCCTGCACGTCTGCAACTTTTCTTTATTCGTCCGCTGACCCCGCTCACCTTGAGGGTGGTTGCGTACCGAGCGGGCGTAGACTTATATATTCTCGGCCACATCACTCAAGAGTATGTACGAAAGACATACAGGAATTTTAAAACAACGTCAATTTGTGACATATTCGATGATAAGGACACCAACAAATCTTCCTGGAAGAAAGTTACACAAGGACATAATTTAGATTTACATAGGCTTACATAAATCCAGAGAAGGATTAAAGATGGGACGTGTCTATGTGTCTACATCGAATTTAGAGTTTGAAGTTAGTTCAAGTAATTTAATAAAAATGCCAAATAAATTTATGTTCTAATACCTTCATCTTATCTAAAAAGATGAAACCAAATCATTACTGACCTGTTAATTATAAATTAGCTTATGATACAAATACACTCCAACCACCAAACTTCTTCATATTTCACCCAAAGTGACTCATTAATATTTCAACTAATACTCCAATGAGCTAATGAAACTCACTGCCATCATACTAAATCTTATGTCCTCCCATACACTAAGAAAAAAAGTGTGTGAGTGAGTGAATTTAGTGGATTTTCACTTCCTCACAAAATGCGTAGATTAATTAGAGGTCTGCATGTCATCTCATTAATGTAGCTCTTAAGATTGTATATGGTGTTTTATTCCACTTACGTTTTGGTGGGTATATTCTGTAAATCATGCCAAAAACGAAACAAAAAACATACACATCACAAATTGTGCATTTTTTGGTAATTGAAGAAAAAAAAAAAAAAAAAAAAAAAAACACATTTTCCTCTTATAAACATACAAAAATATGCATCAGAGACACGAGGATCTGCTCTTGAGAGGGATGTGTGTGGCTCTTAAAAGAGCCTTTTGGTTTGGTTTCCAAGCAGATCTTTTCTTGCGGGCTTCTCGGTCTTCTTGGGCAGAAAACAGCCTGGAGTTGGCAGCCACACCGCCCTGGAGCGATGGTCACTCCGCCCAGGAGTTTGTTGAGCTCCTCGTCGTTGCGGACAAGCAGCTGCAGGTGCGGGGATGATACGGGTCTTCTTGTTTGCTCACGGGCTGCGTTTCCTGCCAACTCCAGGGATCTCAGCGGTCAGGTACTCCAGCACAGCCGCCAGGTAGACGGGGGCACTCGCGACAGCGCTCCGCATAGTTTCCTTTGCGCAGCAGCTGTGAACACGACCGACCGGGAACTGGAGCCCAGCACGGGAGGAGCGGGTCTTTGCCTTCGCTCTTGGCTTTGCCTCCGGTTTTGCCTCTTCCACTCATGTTGTTTCGATATTGATCTCTACAGAGTAAACTCAGAGAAAATAACTGCGCCCGCTCACTGACACAAGCCTCCTTTATATCTCCGCGGAGAGAGCGGGACTGTTCCTGTCAGACCAACCAGGAAAGAGGCTCCAGCAGAGCAGCAGAGGGCGGCCTGCTCTGAGATTTGGCGGCCATTTCGAAAGGACTTTTCTCCAATGAGCAGCCGAGGATCAGCGGCGGCTCGCTCCTGTGGGCGGTGCTGAGCTCCAGGAGGAGCCCGTCACCAATGAGGACCGGGGATCTGAAGCAGCGTCACCGTTACACAGCCGGTCCCACGCTTTAAGAGCCGAGCGTCGCCTCTAGTCCTCACACTTTTCTACTTTGTTTAGAGAGACGAAGTAAAATGGCAAGAACTAAGCAGACCGCCCGTAAATCTACCGGAGGCAAAGCCCCCAGAAAGCAGCTGGCCACCAAGGCTGCCCGTAAAAGCGCCCCAGCCACCGGCGGCGTGAAGAAGCCTCACCGTTACAGGCCCGGTACCGTGGCTCTGAGAGAGATCCGTCGCTACCAGAAATCCACGGAGCTGCTGATCCGCAAGCTGCCCTTCCAGCGCCTGGTGCGAGAAATCGCTCAGGACTTCAAGACCGACCTGCGCTTCCAGAGCTCCGCTGTCATGGCTCTGCAGGAGGCCAGCGAGGCTTACCTGGTCGGACTGTTCGAGGACACCAACCTGTGCGCCATCCACGCCAAGAGGGTGACCATCATGCCCAAGGACATCCAGCTGGCCCGCCGCATCCGTGGAGAGAGAGCCTAAAGTCTCGGCCTCCTCTAACATCAACAACGGCTCTTTTAAGAGCCACTTCACTCTGAACCAAAGAGCCAAATCCTCTGCTGCTGTTGCACTTAATAACCATCAACTGTTTGGAGTAAAGTATCAATAGTTTGAAGACACATGGCATGGAGTTCTGTAGATTTCAGAGGGATAGCATAGTCAACAAAACTATCTTAAAATGTAGCCAAACACTTTCATGTGAGAATTTAACACAAACAAGAAATGTTATGGGAAATGCATTGGTATTCATTTACTAGAGCTGTGCTGCGCAGCATAACTCTCAAAGCTGCCTGTTTGTCAACTGTGGCAAACAAATGCTCTCGTTAGCTTCTTTAGCACAGCTGGGCTAATTAGCTAGCTAACCAGGTATGCTGAGCGCAGATACATGCCAATTAGCACGTGCTAACATATTAATAAGTAGTACTAGAATTTCACTCGCCTTAAAAAGCAGGAGCACAGACTGTGTTGTGATCAGCCACTCAATAAACCATAATGAAAAATTCTCCAAAAGGTACCAACACCACAAACATGGCCCAGAAGTCACCTTCAGTGACTCAAACTAGCTAAGGTGTCACTGAGCATCTAGCCAACTATGATGGGCACCCGTTCCTCAAAGCAACCATCCCCTCAATTATAATTTACATGACTTGAACACATTTTAAATAGACGAGTTATATAGAAAGTTGTCATGAAAGAGGAATTTAGGTATAGAGACTACCGGGCTGTTGACATTACTCCTGCTGTAAAGTTGGCCATTTTAGCACGAGTCTACCTGGATTTACTCCCTTTTGGAGCCAGACTCAAGTGGCCGTTCAAGGAACTCGTTCATCTCCTGTGTGACGGAGAAGCGACTGAGCTGTGTGGTGTGTGGGAGGACAACAAGAGAAAAGACTGCACCACCCTTGTCTAACGTGATCACGCTCTCTGCTACAGGCTGCAGTATCATACCAAAAGGCCCTGCGCCTTTATCCTGAAATGATTATATATTCCTTAATCATCCCACAGCGTGCTTCTATTTCTCAGTAATGTGAGGGGAAATTCCCTCACAAGTACCTACAGGCAGGTTCTATCAAAATGCATTGCTTCCTTATCTTGAAATTACAGTATTACACAATATGATGCGGTTGAATCCCTCCTCTTGTTGTGAGTTCTGATTATTCAAACCAGGAAACACTTTAGATTATTGTTGGTTACTTTTGATAGGTGTGCTGGAGCAGTCTCATGTCAAAATGCTTTTTTTTCTTTGTCTTGGAATTATTGTTCACTACAGAAATACTTTACAATAATGGTGTCTGCAGTTTGGGACTAAGATTTGTAATAATCCTTCGTACTCCAGCGTTTTATTCCTCAAACATATTTCTACAATTCAATGCACATGGTGTTTTTGACAACTGCAACATTGTTTGTTTTCATGTCAAAGTGATGGTCAAAATGTTCTATGGGCTACAAAGAAATGCCTTTGTTGAAGTGAAAATAAAAAGCACTCATTAACATGCCACCACTACTGAGCAGGAGGAAGACTAAAACAAGACTAATCTTTGAATTTGAGATCAGTATCTCTGCAGTTGGGATCCGTACCACCCATTCATGTATTCAATTCTAGATTTGCTGTTATTTCCTTCATAAACAGGTGAAGCCCAAAGTAGGGAAGTCCCCTGAATTCATAGCTGTTCGTTTTTTGGCCGGACAGTAAAGACCAGTTATTAAACAGATCTCTGAAGGTAGAAAACCCTCACTCTTGAGTAACACAAGATGACGACATAAACATTTATTTAAATGTCCAATTTTCCTCTCTTTTTCCCGCAGGTTCATGTTGGAGGGGTAAACTACATCCACCTGAGTGTCTTCCAAGCACTTCCATGTGATGGAGGACAGGTTGTGTTGCGTGGTGTACAAGAGCATAAAACCGAAGTTGACCCTCTTGTACCTTTCTAAAGTGCTCACACTGCCTGTGTCAGCGGTTGCAGTGTCATATTAAAACGCTCTGCTTCTTTTATTTTGAAATGATTCTACACTGCAATATTCCTTTAAAAGTGATTTGAATCTTTGACTTTAAATGAATTAATTGTCTAGATTTATCTGGTGTTGGGCAGGAGCAAGCTGAATGCACTACTTTCTAAAAAGAAATAAAATAAAGCATTTAAAAATCCTTACATGCTGAATGTTCTTTTCTTGTGTGAAGTCTTATCTTTAATTGACACAGGCTTGGCTGGCCAATATGCTAACAATTAATCAAAATAATAATAATTTATAATAAATATAATCTAATTATAAATTGGATTTTCAGAGTAAAATTACTTTTGCATGGTGTCTATGTAAATTACACTTTCTGTGAATGAGGAGATTGATGTTATAGTCTCCACAGGATCCTTTCTTTAGTATGGATTAATGTGTGGTTAAATTAATCCCACAGTCTCCTGGTAAATCAATCCACCCATCAAACACCTGTATTTACACGAACTTATTTGAAGTGTTATTAAACTTCCTCATGTTGCAGGTTTGGATTACACAAACCAGAAAAACCCTTCCTTATTGCCTGGTTCCTTCGAAAAGGTGCCCTTAACAAGGAATAAGATATCACACATACTTGAGACATTACACAATAAGTGAGGATACAGAATCCAACCAAATGAGGAAATTAACTGACTCCGACTACAGTCCTGTCTGACAACTTTCCTGAATTAAGCCAAAACAAATTAGCTCTGTAAGACTATACTGAGGTGCTGCTTTGACCTAAATGCTAACCTTAGCATGCTAACATGGGCTATGGGCTACAAAAGAAATGCCTTTGTTGAAGTGAAAATAAAAAGCACTCATTAACATGCCACCACTACTGAGCAGGAGGAAGACTAAAACAAGACTAATCTTTGAATTTGAGATCAGTATCTCTACAGTTGAGATCCGTACCACCCATTCAGTGTGATCAATATTAGATTAGATTTGAAACATCGCGTTTTTAAAAGTTCCCACAGTATAAATAAGAATTTTGAAAGGACTTCATAACAGAATAACAAAACTTTGCTTGAGGTTACACATGTAGCTCCTCCCAACATGAAGTGGAGCCACCTGTCACGTATTGCCACGGTTGGTTACACAGGTATAAATTCAGGCACATTTGATACAGTTGAAGACTCATAGCCGACCTTTCTTCTGACTTCAACAAACCTCATCACTTGTCAAACATGACCGGACAATTTAGTGAGACCAAGAATGCCACTAAGGAAATTCAGGTGATTTGTGATCAGGTAAGTGTCAACCTAAATTTCTTTCTTCAAACCTTTCACTTTGATATGTTACAATTTGTATATAATTCTAGATCTGCTGTTATTTCCTTCATAAACAGGTGAAGCACAAAGTAGAGAAGTACCCTGAATTCATAGCGGTTAAATATAGAGAGCAGATTGTGGCTGGACAAAACTTCATCATTAAGGTAAATGAGACCGATATTTGATGTGTGTTTTTACATAATATACAGGTTGAATCATGAATAATATTACGTCAAATATTTTGGCCGGACAGTAAAGACCAGTTATTAAACAGATCTCTGAAGGTAGAAAACCCTCACTCTTGAGTAAAATAAAAGATGACGACATAGATATTTATTTAAATGTCCAATTTTCCTCTCTTTTTCCCGCAGGTTCATGTTGGAGGAGTAAACTACATCCACCTGAGTGTCTTCCAAGCACTTCCATGTGATGGAGGACAGGTTGTGTTGCGTGGTGTACAAGAGCATAAAACCGAAGATGACCCTCTCGTACCTTTCTAAAGTGCTCACACTGCCTGTGTCAGCGGTTGCAGTGTCATATTAAAACGCTCTGCTTCTTTTATTTTGAAATGATTCTACACTGCAATATTCCTTTAAAAGTGATTTGAATCTTTGACTTTAAATGAATTAATTGTCTAGATTTATCTGGTGTTGGGCAGGAGCAAGCTGAATGCACTACTTTCTAAAAAGAAATAAAATAAAGCATTTAAAAATCCTTACATGCTGAATGTTCTTTTCTTGTGTGAAGTCTTATCTTTAATTGACACAGGCTTGGCTGGCCAATATGCTAACAATTAATCAAAATAATAATAATTTATAATAAATATAATCTAATTATAAATTGGATTTTCAGAGTAAGATTACTTTGACATGGTGCCTATGTAAATTACGCTTTCTGTGAATGAGGAGATTGATGTTATAGTCTCCACAGGATCCTTTCTTTAGTATGGATTAATGTGTGGTTAAATTAATCCCACAGTCTCCTGGTAAATCAATCCACCCATCAAACACCTGTATTTACACGAACTTATTTGAAGTGTTATTAAACTTCCTCATGTTGCAGGTTTGGATTACACAAACCAGAAAAACCCTTCCTTATTGCCTGGTTCCTTCGAAAAGGTGCCCTTAACAAGGAATAAGATATCACACATACTTGAGACATTACACAATAAGTGAGGATACAGAATCCAACCAAATGAGGAAATTAACTGACTCCGACTACAGTCCTGTCTGACAACTTTCCTGAATTAAGCCAAAACAAATTAGCTCTGTAAGACTATACTGAGGTGCTGCTTTGACCTAAATGCTAACCCTAGCATGCTAACATGCTCACAATAGCATTTAAACATGTTTAGCAGGTATAATGTTTATCTGAGGCTGATGGAAATATCTTCCGTTTTGATAGTATCTGGTCATGAATAATAAAAAAAAAAATGACCTGATGTTGATTCTAGATGGAAAATTAAGGATTTGAGTTCTTACAATTCATCCTGAGATGGACACGAGGTGGACAAAATGGCGTGTTAATCCATCCAACAGTTGTTGAGATATTTCTGTCTGGACCAAAGTGGTGCCGCACAAACCAAGTGACTGGCAGAGTGACATTCTTCCCAAAAATCTGTATTGATTTGTACAAGAATTTAAGACAGCCCGGATTAAACTGTATCACTCATTTTTTTGGATGTAAAAAAACAACTGAATCACTCGGACAACTTGTGTCACTTGAAAACATTTCACTGTCTTTTTAAAAAACTGATTTTGTACAATGTTTCTCATTAAAGAAGAATACAGATGACTGTTTTACAGCGGTGGTAATGCAGTACATAATCACGGTGGAATAGAAGTTGGAGAAGAGGTCAGAGAGGTCTGGATGGTGAACAGCCTGCGGTCACGACTCTGCAGCGGGTCACAGTCACAGCTCCAGTCTGGGTTTTGAACCTCAAGCGAAGCAGCTCATCTCGCCAGACAGAGCTTCACTTCACCTTCGGAGGCGTGTAGTGGATTCTGCACCTTTCACTGAAAACCTGAAGAAAGGAGATCAGGAATAAGTAACATACTGTATCAGATAATGGCAGATCATTTATGTCTGACTATAGGGTTTTAACGGACGAAGAGTGAGCATACCTTCAGACTTCTATCATTGACGACTTCTTCAACATTCAGCTCTGACTGCATGAGCTTTAACTGGAGACGAGGAAGAGAAAAACAAAAAGTTGCATATCTCGATGTATTATTTTCACTTAAAGTAAGATAACTGATTATATCATTTATATACTTTAAAACAGTGTACTTCAGTGATTTTGTATTGCACTTTCATAAAGTTGTTTGATAAACATGAGATAAAATGGTAAAATTGAAGCAGCAGAGGCTGAAATATTGTGACTTTTAGTCTCAAAGATCAGCCAAGTTCCAATCAACACTAGATCCTACGATTCCCATAATGCTCAATCCATTAGATTCCCCCTTGCCTCTTAAATGTCACACCTTAGGTTTGAAACACTGGCTTTCTATCAAAATAATACGAGTCTCTGAGCCCTCTCTTAAACAACCCTGATGACATCACTATGACATCATCAGGGCTATTTTGCCCTCATATTCACATGTAGCAGTAGAAGCGAGGGAGTGGACATCTTAGAATTTGGCCACATAAATTAACGTATCCCCTCAGATGGGTGAGAATATTTTGTTTTTGTGATTTGAGTGAACGGAGCCTTATTCTCTCTGGGTGAGGAAAATCTTCAGTGAGTCTTCCAGCTGCAGATGGACCTACTTAACAGTACTGCTCACATCTAACAGCTTTAAGGGGTTCAGGGCTTTCTAATATTCAAAACAGGATTTACTTTGGTCTGCTCCTTTCTGAGTTGCTTGTTGACTGCCAGGTTTTCCCCGTCTTTTGCTCTTTCCTCGCGCAGTTGTCCGACCACCTCAGATGTTTGGGCTATACAGGCCTTGATAGCTTTGTCTCTGCTCAGATGGGCCTCCATCATCTGTGAGGAGCAAGGAGGAGAAAATAATTTGCAAGTGACGTACACAGCCCAAACACAAACCGATTTCAGCCGTGACAGTCAAACTCACAGATTCGTAGAGTTGTTTGCATGTTTGTGTGGCATCCACTTTGCCTGAGAAGGAGACTGTGGGCACGGTGGTGTTCAGGGCGTGGACGATGCGGTCATCTATGGTTCGCATCACCTTCAGCACCTCCTGAGAAACGCACAGAGGGACACAGAGACAGCCGGCAGCTTCAGTTAACTGAAATCATCCTTTGAAGGCACGGCTGGCCTCACTCTTGAGGATGAGGTGAGGAGCTCAGTGTAAAGCTGCTGCTGCTCCCTCACATATAAAAAGGAGCAAGCTGAGGTGCTAGTGATGCTAGTATCAAAAATATTTCAAACGATACCCAGCCGTAGCTTATAACTAATGTTTTTCACTGACAATGCAAATTCAGGTTTCTGTAGAGAAAGCAGTGGTTCCAAAGCTTTTTGGCTTGTGGACCAATACGTGTGACTCATCATAATAAAAAAAAACTGTGAGTAGCTGATATTTCTGTTCTTAGATTGTCTGATTTGAAGGATTTCTGGAAGCCTAAAGAGTTGATATTGTGCAGTATTTCACACTTTTAGTAATAACAATATGCCATTAGATAAAACTGTCTGAAGACCAGTATACAACCGCAGGGGATTTGTTATTTTCTTATTACTGTTATTAAACCACATGTAGCCAGTTCAGTTTCCAGATCCAGATCCCACAGTGAGCATTAGTGCTCAGGAGGGTCACTCATTCACTGGACTACACGGAAAATAAACAACACGGCACCGGAACCTCCGAGGAGTAACGACTCGGATCGATTCCATTCCGTGACACGTTTACACAGATCAATTAACGCTTCGTTAAAATTACCTGAAACATTGAAAAGTCCTCACAGTTTAAAGTTCCACCGGGCGCCGCCATAGTGGACTGCGGGGTCCTCTGCAGACGCAACGCCAGGTGACTGTTCGCGAAGATGCCTGAATGAATGCTGAATATATACTTACATTATTACGTATTTACCGAATTTACTCGTGATGTTAATGGGTTTATCTCACTATAACGTACCTCGAAAAAAATGTAATGTCTGTATTTAAACAAACGGCCCTTTTTACAGTTAGTTACATAACTTGTGGTGAAATGCCTGGGTCAAAGTCTGGTCACTTCACCAGTGAGAAAAACAGCGGTGCCTCTCCTCCATGGATGTATTTGCACTGCGCCACATCCTGAAACTGCGCCTTATCTATTTTGGCATTGCTTTTATACATAATTATAAGTACGGTTCATTCATGAATGTTTTTATTTTTAAAGTGAGTAGCACTTAGAGACCTTTAAATCTTGCAGTAATAAGGCTGTACAAAATGTTAATGAGTGTATTGTTTTACCGTCTTTACTTAACTTCATTCAGTTATGTGTTTTTCTATTTCTGCGTTGTTTCTATTTCTGTGTTATAACCTTAAAACAATAGACAGGCGCCCATTTGAACATTAATGGGCAGGATGAGTACTTACAGCGAGCAAAACCTGTTTAATATTCATATAAGCACCTGATTATTGTTTTAACATAGACTTATCTAAAGTCAAACTTAAAGAAAAAAAACAATAGTCATACATCTTAGTGATGCCTAACCATAACTTCAGCTGCAACGCCACCCGCGGAAACAGACTTTAACATAAACGCGTTGCCATTTTTGATCAGGCGCATGGATCCGGCTCCTATGATTATGTGACTGGGTCCTGTTGGGTAGTTAGTTGACTTTCAGCAGCTGATGGTGGGCTATATGTGTTTGGACCGTATACTACGACGCATGGCCTGATTGACTCATTGAATTTTATTAATTTTATCAAAAACATGAATTTCGTCAGGTCTCGCTTTTCCATTGGCAACGTTTTAGGTTCGTATCACGTTGAATTCCTGTGTTGTTTTTGGCTTAATAACTGGGTCGGACTGACTCTTCTCCCACTTTGTATTTGTAGTTAAGTTGATTGTTAAATTACCGACTGCAGTTGTAGCTAATTATCCGACATATTATCGCCTGTTTTCTCATTGTTACACCACGATTCAGTTAAATGATGTTTGATTATGTGGCTGTGAATGGTACGTGACTCGACATCTGTATTGATAGATATAACGATGATTACAGTTCCTGTATTGTGACATTTTTTTAGTCATCCCATAAAAACGTCTTACTGAAACACTTTTTCAGTTGTTTCATTGCACGATATTTAATTTTTATTGCCCTGACACGCCTCCATGTTATCATGACAGTGAGCAGCTCCTAGAATATGGGTTATATTGTGACTACTTACTGGATTTATTCATGTAAAACTGGTTGCTGTTGGGTTTATGTATGTATTATGCATACATGTTTTTGATAGTAAATTGACTACTATTTTTTGGGTTTGTGGACTGATGTTCAGACTAAACAAGCAATTCCAAGAAATCACCCTGAGCATTAGGAAATTCCAACAGGCTTTTTTTTTCACTTTTGTGAATATTTTTCTGACAAAATGATAATCTAGGAAAGTAATTAGCATACTAACTGACAATGGAAATAATAGCTATTTGCAGCCCAAATTAAGGATAAAGATTCTCTTCAGATCCGGCACATCAGAGTTGCAATGATGTGTTGATCAGCTGAAAATAAGTGGCAAAAACTCTGATAATCAATTAAATTTCAAAACTGGTTAATTGATTCTAGGATTTCAGCAGCTTTAATGTGAGAGTTTGACGCTTTCTTCTGTTTGCTGTCATTGTAAACTGAATATCTTTGAGTTTTGGACTAAAAACCAACTAAAACAAGCAGGTTGATGCTGTCACCTCGAGCTCTGATGAAATCATTGCATGAAAAGAATCTGCACATTGATCCAAGTAATGAAAATCATAGTTATTTTTTAGCCGTTCAGCACATTTATTATTTTTGTTTGTTTACATACCCCAACAGGTCAGAGGTGCAGGCAGGCCGCTGAAACATGGAGCCACAGAGGGATGTGCAATAAACCGCAGGAGGTCAAAGCAGAGTCTCTGCCTGCAGCCCCAGCAGAAGGTAGAGCTTTGGATCCAATTCAGCCACAGAAATTTACAACCACTCATCCGCTCTTGATCTCAAGTCTCATAAACTTGGAAATCACCGATGAAAGCTTTTGATAGGAAAACGGATAGCTCAAATCAATCTGGTGTGAAAACGACTACATAAGATTTAAGCACTAGCACATATATTTAAATAGACATTTACATCACAGGTCACTTGTTGTTGTCATAGCAAAGTGCGTGAGCATTCTCCAAGTCCCAAGGAGGAACACAGGAAGTGGGGTCACAGTCAAGGGTTTTGGATCTAATGAGTGGGGCCTGTGATACTGAACTTCTCTCCATTCACTGTTTTTTTAATCACTATTTGGATTTGTGGACTTCTGCTCTGTTTGTTTGTCCTTTTTGAATGCGTGCTTTGTTCTGTCATACAGCAGCTCGCCCTGCGTTCAGAATCCCAGGCTCCAGACCCTCGGAGATGGACAAGAAGTTTTTGGTCTGGTCGGGACGTTTTAAGACCCCAGACCAGATACCAGACTTTGTTTCGTAAGTAGCCTCTTCCTGTTTATACCAGACCTCCCACTGCACTTGAATCTGATTGACCCGATGTGTGATTTAGTTAAGCTGCATCACAAGAAACGGAGCTTACTAACTGGATGAGCGGTGGTGAGACTGCTCCAGTTCAAACATGGGGTTTGTTTGCGGGGAAGGTAATTACTGACATCAGGGCGGAGATAATATCTGATCTGCTGCTTTGATAAAAGACTTGATTGTCACGCATACAAACTGCAGACCTCCCACCTCACGTACACACAATGAGGTCAGGCTCAGTATCATAAAAACACTTGCCTGTTTTGAGTCATTGTGTGGACAAGTGTCAGACGACTGAATTGTAACTCAGATTAATTGCTGCAGCTCAAACAAGGAACATACACATCACTTTTAACACTATACTAGTGTGCTGTGATTTTCTACATTGTTTTCTGATGTGTGTTGAAAAGACTATTCTTGAAAGTACTTTTCATACACCTGCCTGTGCCGCAGGTTCGAGATGCTCGATGCTGCCAGAAACAAAGTCAGAGTGAAAGCCTGCTATGTGATGATGGCGGTCACAATTGGAGCCTGTCTGGTGACGGTGATCCTGGGCAAGCGGGTGAGTAGGTGACGATACACGAGTGCGCCGTGTCCGGTATCTGATTTACAAAGAGTTCCAAGTTAGTTGAATGGTTCACAACTGTGTGAATCTAAATCTTAAAAAAAACCTAAAAAGGTTGCTGCTGTTTATGTATTTCAGGTGACATAAATAGCATCACCTGTGTTTTGTCCTGTTTTCGCAGGCTGCAAGCAGGCACGAGTCCTTGACAGCGTTAAACATGGAGAAGAAAGCTAAGTGGAGGCAGGAACTACAAAAGGAGGGGGAAGCTGCTGCTGCTGCCGCCGCTCTGTCTCAGAAGGCTCAGTGATGAGGGACGGCTCGTCTCTGCACAACCATGTCATTTTCCCCAAATACTGCGCCAGTAGTGTCCCCCCCTCCTTACTGTATGTATCACAGCGTCGAAGCTCTCCACTCCCGTTCCTCTGTGAGAAGCAGAGCAGCAAAAAGGTATCAGAGCAATTGATACTTAGTCGTACTTTTTCAACCAGCAGAGCACACAATTATGGACTTTTTTTTCATTTCATCACTTTGAAACCCAGTGTGTGATTGTATTGAGGTTAATAACTGGCAACTGTTTTTGGGGAAACGCCGCTAATGTGGCGGAATCTGGTTATATTAGAGGAGAATGGAAAATGCAGGTTTTAAAATGTTTTTCAAACAATAAATCAGTTGCACAGACCCACCAGTTGGGATTGAAGTACTCTGTCAATGCTTCTAACAAACCTCTCAAGCTCTCTAACGTAAATGCCTTAGATGTCCCTGTTCTTAAATCTGCCTCAGAGGCAACAGTCTTTGTTTTTATCCGCCTTGTGAAGACACTTCAGACCTCCAAAGGTTTGAAATGGTCTTCAGTTTTCTAAAGCGAACATCAAGAAGTGGCTCAGGCATAAGATCCATCTGTACAACGGTCAGAATCATGTGATCAGGTTTGTCACATTGTATATAGTGAGCACCAAAGGAATTCAGTTTAATAAAGTGATGTTTCTTGAGATTTTCTGCCTGATTTTTATGAGCTGATCTAATTCTGGTTCATATAAACTAATTCCACAGTTTATGGTCTCAGTTGAACTGAAGTTATTACTTTTGTTACGTTAGTATTTCCTCAGTAAATACTGACAATACATTTTCCTTTCACTATATAATGTAGTGTGGTAGATTTTGAAAATCCATGGATCATTTTTTTAAGCAGAAAATGAAACTGTTCCACCTTCATTTGCTGTTTTTCTTAGTCATGAATTTGTCAGTATATTGTGACATCTACAATAAAAATAATAGGTTGCCGCCTTACACAGAAGGTTAAAGTACTACCATTCCATGGCAATAAACGGATCCTCAATCTGAGTCCTAATTATAGTGAAACAGATTCACTTAAAGTATGGTTCATGAAACGGCTTTTATGCAAATGGCATAACAGGACAGTTGCACAAACAATACAACAAACAGTAATGTACATGTAGAGCTGGTCATCTCTTGCAGAGATTTCGACAAAAAGTAAGCAATGTAAAGAGGACTTAGTAAACAAACATTCAGTTTAGCTAACTAAGATGATCACCAGTATTTTCAAGTTTTAATCTGGATTTTCGTTGAAATTATCTGGAAGGATTTTCTGTAGAATAAGGATTATGGCACCATCAGCAACATGACAGATGCTAACCTAAACAGCCAATTTTCCAAAGAGGGTTTGATTTACTTCTTGTTCTTAGTTCTTGTAGCTTTGCTGAGGCAGTATGATCTACTGATTAGTGTGCTAACAGTTTCAGTCCACAATCTGCTTGAGTCCCTCTGTAGGAAGGGTAAACAGTGAAGTACATTGTAATCCTTGTTACACCAAGAAGGGGACCGAGGATACAGATCACACCTCAACACCTCGCTTCCTGAGGAGGGAAGAGCCGTGTCATCAACCAATTAAATAGTTAATGTAAAAACTATGGTATACTCTCAATGAGGCATCAGTCCTGAACTAAAGTGCTGCAAATGAAATGAAAGTATGGTAAAGATAATAAAAATTCCCGCTGGTCTGCTGCTGGACAGAATCCAGGGTTAAATAGTCTGTTTTGTCTTGTCCAAGTCTGTCCAATTGCCTCAGTGCGAGGGAAGACTCCAAATCCCATGGTTCCATGGGGTTATTCACATCACACCAGAGGCAGGAGGCAGTCTAAACTCTTCAGGATGGAGCCTGTGCAGGAGGAAAAGTCCCATTACTGGACAGAGGAATGCATGATATGAGAATCCAGGAGGGAACGCAAGCAGCCTGGTCTGTAACCAACAAGCTCCACCCCTCAGCGACACAGTCAGGTTCCTAATTTGTCCATCTGTGGTCACTTATCCAATGGCCGGAGAGGAGGTAATTCACCCCCTTTCTTTTTTTTTTTTTTTTTTTTTTTTTTTTTTTTGAGTCGTTTAAGTGCCTTTTGTAGAGGTCAGTTGAGTCCGAGGTTTGGGACTGGCCACGTGGCCCCACTGTGGGCAATTCAGTCCAGTGACCACAGTTAAATATGTGGTCAACGTCTCATGGTCAGTCCAGTGTTTAGGTTGGATCATTCTTCTGTGTGTGTGTGTGTGTGTGTGTGCGTGTGTGGGAGGGGGGTAAAATCACGTCCATGGTTGTCTGTCTTGCGAGTCATTAATGCTTCAATCAGACAAGCAGTGCAGTCCTGAAACTCCCACTGACTCAGAGATAGGGATCGCCAATCCTACGGGAACACGGAGAAGTGCTTTTCATTTGGGATGATCTGAGGAGGAATTCCAAAAAAGTAAGACGAGGGTGGTGTTACAGCGAAAATCTGCTAGTAGGAGATGCTGGGGCCTGAGCAGGTAGGAGGGCTCCAGGTGCTGAGGAATTAGGCGCAGAGGTGAGCTCAGCGCAAGACAGAATGATGAGTGAAACCTTCACGAACTGGCTGACAAGACTGCGGAACTTGACCCACGTTGGACGTACGCGCACACACACGTGCTCCTGTAATGTTACATTTTTCATAATCATGATAATGATTAAAATCAATCGCCGAGGGTCGTCGTCGCCCTTGATCATGGCAGTGGGCAGAGAGCGAGAGAAATGAGCAGAGGTGAGGATGAAGGTGGAGCACAGGGGGAGAGGGAGGATTCAGCATTATAGCTGGAAGCCCTCCATCGGGGCCTCGCACTGCTGGAAGAGGAACTGCTGCTGCTGCAGGTCGACGGCCGGAGCCAGAGACGGGTCCTCGTCTTCAGTGTTGAAGTAGCGTTCGATCAGGTCGAAGGCTTTCTGGTAGATTTCCTGGTTCTCGTGCCCCTGCAGGAACTCCAGCTTGTCCAGGCCTGAGAAAAAGAGAGGAAGCATTAATCAACTGACAAATAATTCATTTCCAACTATTGAAATCAATTGCTTAAGTAATTTATCAACCAAATCTGCCTAGCGGTGCAACAATTAGTTAATTAATTGGCATCTATTTTGTTAGTTATCATTTTCAAGCAAAAATGTGTAATATATCTTGTTACAGCTTCTCAAATGTGATGATGGAGGTATTTTTCACAATTTTCTGCCAGTTTTATTAACAACACAATTATTAGTTAATGAAAGCAATAATAGATTAGTCCATAATGAAAATAATCCTTAATTGCAACCCTAAGACTGTCAACCATTCTCTGGTCACCTTCACCTTTTTCAATTTGCTGATTTTTTCTATTTTATATTACTATAAATTCAACATAGTTGGGATTTGGACTGTCCCTTTTTGCTTTTGTTCTTTATTTTTTACTAAATAAAATAAATAAATATATATATATTAAAAAAAAAATACTCATTGGTATCAGTCTTAGATAAGCGGAGTATACAACAATACATGCTAACACCATAAGCTCCATTATTGTATGCATTTTTTGCTAGATCTCCATCTTAACGGTATGCTAATGGGGTCTTTTTCTAATGAATTATATTATTGTAACTGCGGATAACAAACTGGTCAACCATGTGTCTTTGGTTTGTTCATGTCAACTGCATCACACGCTATAGTGCATAAATATTTCCTAAATAAAATTATTTGGTCCATTACTTGATGAGCAGCTGAGACATTTAGGCAATTATTTACTACTTAGTAGGTGTTTAGGGCTTTTTTAAAATTTTTTATAAAACCTCACAGTTTGCACCTTCTAATTAAAATTGTTAATTGAACATATAAACACCAACCGTAGGCCTCTTCGATGAGTGCACAGTAGGGGTTGATTCCTCCTCCTCTCTTGGCCTCCAGTTCTCCCAGTCGCAAGATGTTCTCTAGGCCGTTTAGAGCCACCTGAACTATTTTGGAGTCCATAAGTGTGAGCAGGTCACACAATGGTTTTATGCAGCCCAGCTCCACTAAGTGCCTGCAGGGGGCGGCACACACATGAACTCAGCACTCATCAAACATGATAAGGAATCCACACATCCTGCATCGATTAAACTACACCACAGTCATTACACCAGCTGAAGGAATGTCTATGACAACCTCCTATGTCACAAGATGAAAAACATTCTGATTAATAACAACAGCTCATTTCCTTTAGATTACCATTTTGCAATCAGCCAGTCTTGAAATACAAACCTAACAAACCCATAATCTTTCTTGATATTAAGTGGTACACCTGTATAAATTAATTCCAAATGAAGGTTTCAGAACTCTCATAATATTAGGGACATACTGTACATTAGCTGCTGGCAACAGAGGCTGCATATACTGTACAGGTTTGTTAAAATGCATCAGTGTTCTTACCTGATTTGCTCTGCAGAGCCCCCCGAGGTGGCATTGGTAATGGCCCACGCTGCCTCCTTCCTTGTGCGAAACTCTGCTACTTGCAGAATAGTGATGAGAGGAGGCAGCAGACCGGCATCTATCACCATCTACAAAGAGAGAAAAAAGAGTGATTACAATGCTCGAGTCCGCAAGTCAACACACGCCCGGTTAGCCTGAGGCACACGCACACAGACCTGTATTTGTGCTCGGTTTCCTGCAGTGATGTTGGAGATAGTCCAGCAGGCTTCCTTCTTGATGGACTCCTTGGGGCTGCTCAGGAGGTGATGTAGGGACTGCAGCGCCGAGCAGTTCAGGATCACCTACAGAATAACAAACGCAAATTACAATCAGAGTTAGAAATATTCACTTGTCAGTATCCGGTTACTTTTTGCATAAGTAGTATAACTTCATTTGTGTCGACATGTTGCTTTTACCTGTGTCTGCAGATCATCTCCAGTCACTATGTTCCCAACAGCTCGCAATGCAGGGGATACCACCTTATAATCAGAATGCCTGGAAGAAAGCGGATTTATAGTGTCAGATTGCTCTGATCTTCTTTATATAAGTTTGAAACTATTGACATGAAAAAAAAAATATTTGTCCTCCAGTTTCCAGATGTTAGCAATAACTGTTGAGTCACACTTTCTGTTGTTTTCACATGGAAATACTACTGGGACAACTTCTGCAGTTTGCCACAGCTGGTAATGAATTACTCAAAACTGAATAATGTCCGGGAATATTCACAACACACCCACATCTGGTCTGTCACACCCAATGTAGTGGTGACAAACGGTGCACATAGGAGACTCTGAGGGAAACACATAGCACTAGCGTGTTATCGGCCTGTCGTGCCTGTTTTCCACAGTCAAACCAGAAACCTACATGTGTCTCCAACAAAACTAAAGCCTTACATCAGTAATTCCACCAGCCTGCGACAAACTCCTGAGTCAATAACAGCCTGGATTTTGTCATTGGGGCCATCAGATAGGTAGGAAAGCGCCCAGCATGCGTCAGCCAGGATGTCTGTGTCGTTGACGAACAGCAGCCAAGACAGTACACTGAGACATGGGGACACCTGAGAGAAAAACATGGCACAAAAAAAACATGGTGGGCAGGCTCATTTTGGTGTTAACGTCAGGGGGAGCAAATGTTTTCCAGTTTAGATATAAGCACCTTATGACCTTGGAAAGCGAGATATGATGTACTTTAGCAATGTGAGAGGTGTGCTGTTGCCATGGTGATATGTTTATCTTGGCAAATTACCTTAGTGAAGTCTGGGGGTGGGTTCTTCCCTCTGCATAGGTTTGAGAGCGCCCACACCGCGTTCCTCATCATTGTTAGACGATTCTGTTTGGCCAATAACCTGCAAGAGGAGTTTTGCCAAACATGTTTTACCAAGGACAGAGGATCAAAGGTGTTCTTTATTTTCAAGTGTAACAAGAAGATTTTGAAGGAAGATAATGTGACACCGAGTTCCTACTTACTGCACCAGGGAAGGCAGAATGTTGCAGTCTATGACAAAGTCTCTGCATTCTGTGCTATCTCCTGCTATGTTTCCCAAGGCCCACACTGCCTGAAGGGCACAGCAATAATTCAGGTTATACAATAAATAATATCACAATATATTCAATTACAGGTTTTAGGATAACAGACTTGCAAAATGTTAATGATATAAAATGTTTTAAATCATCATCACTATGTTTTATTCAACCTAATAAGCCAAGCTGAATATTTATAGCAGCATCCAGACTGGCACATTATTATGTAAAAACAGCTAAGAGACATTTTAGTGACTTTCAGTGAACACTTCTTACTTGTTCCTGTACGTCTTCAAAGTCCGAGCTGAGCATCTCTATGAATATGGGCACAGCTCCTGCCTGGATGACCACCCGTGTCTGATGGGATGTACCTGATGCAATGTTGGTCAACACCCATGCAGCCTCAAACTAAAACAATATTCAAAATAAATAAGAAACTATATTAATTTAAGACCTTGTGTTGGTTTAACTGTCAAATTACACATACTACATGCAGTGTTTGAAATTCATTATTAGGACATTAGGAAGAACACTTTACAAACAAGGATAAGAAACTGCAAGAAGCTGAATGCCCCCTCAGATTAAAGAAATGTACCTGCAATGTGCAGTTTTCTCTCCTCTTCAGGAACTCAACAAACCGCTCCACTACCCCTGGAGTGGCAATGACTTCATCAATAGGTGGGTTTGGTTCTGTGTGAAACATACGAGTACAGGTTGACAATATGGAAAAAAATCATATTGTGAATTCCTATCACACAGTCTCTTGATATCTTGATATCAATAGATGAAAATGTTTACTTAAGTATTCAAAATTGTAATTTTTTCATATTGAAGGCATTAAATTATCATCTAGTCCTAGTGAACAGAGGTGAAAAGAACTCATGGCAAATAATAATCATCTCCAGCAACCTTACCTTTAGAGAGGAGTTTCCTAAAGCGCTGAGTGCCTATTAGCTGCTGCTCAGGCGAACTGGAGAAGATCATTTGAGTCATATCTTCAGAGATCACCCCACCCTGTGCAGCATTGGAGATTAAAGAGAGATTTGATCAAACACAAATGAAATACTGCCACATCTGACTTTAAACATTATGCTAAACTTTAATATAAAAAAAATGATTTTATTCAATGTTTTTCTTCTCACCATGAGTGGGTCCATGTTGTTAGCCTGGGACTCCAGGTAGCCGCTATCGGCCATCCCATCGTCCTCCAGGGGGCCATCATCCTCAACTGTGGCAACATTCCTCCTCTTAAACAGCTGGAATACAGTAGTATTTAAATGAGTTATTTTGATCTTATTTGGCACAATTCTTCTTCACAACTGCAGTGTTAGAAAAAAAATAGCATGGTGTCAAGTTTTCTTCCTGACATTAGCAACATTGACAGGAAACAAACTTAGACCCCTTAAGATTGTTTATGTTTGATGGAGGTCTGTTAAGAGTGGTCACAGTGTCCTTTATTTGATTCGTTTGAGAACAATTCTACCTATTAGGAGGACGACGTTACTTGTCTACACTTTGCTCACCTGTTCGTCCTTCTTCTGTTTGCGGAGCTGTAGGCCTTCCTCTTCCCTCCTTCTTCTCATTTCATCTGTGTTGAGAGACTTGTTCTTGTAGCTCTTAAGTCGTGCATTGTCCTTACCTTGACTCATTGTGTAGCCTTGGAATATGCAGAAATATACATGTAAATATTACTCGGACAGCCTTGTAAACAATCACTTACTAAAGCTGCTAAGTTGATATCGAAATTCAAACTGTATTTTAAATAGCTAACTAAACAGGAGATAATTCCTCTTAACAAACATTGTACATCAAATGGGGGCATCTAAGGATACTAGCTAGCTGGTTAGCTTTATGTATATTGACACTGCGTAATTAATAAGCTACCAAACATATCTTTATCAAATGACCCGGTGTGGTGCTTCCTTTTACGATCCACTGATCACCAAAGCACAGAACAATATTAATTACACGGGAAGGCTACACTTAGCTCAGCTAGCTAATGTCATAGCCGTTGTTAGCACAATCTACAACCGAAAGCTAGCTAGCTAGAAGTGGCTAGCCCATTTAGCTAACGTTAGCTCTGAAATCCAACGTTAACGTTAGCTCGTGCGACATCCCAAAGTTTTCCAAACGTTGTCGAAATTGAGAATTAAATTAGCGTCTGATTATAAAGTGTTTTCACACAAAGACTGCCAAATATTAGTAATTATTATTATCTGACCTGTCAAATCGGGCTCTGTAATCCCCTTCTTTGCTAGGCCACCGTTCTTACAGCCGTCGCCGGTATGCTACTGCGCATGCGGGATGTTCAATTCACCACCACCACCACCCCCCCGCAACTCCCCCGCACTTACTTACACTCCACCCCACCTACGCGACGCTAATGCCCTGTAAATAACCATAGACTGCATGTAAACAACTAGAAAACCAACCTCCANGGCGGGTTCAATTCACCACCACCACCACCACCCCCCCGCAACTCCCCCGCACTTACTTACACTCCACCCCACCTACGCGACGCTAATGCCCTGTAAATAACCATAGACTGCATGTAAACAACTAGAAAACCAACCTCCACCATTAATATAAAATAGACTGTACGCTTGTTGTAAATATGTAATACGTAGTCAACAGATACGATACATATTCATAATGTTCTTATATTATTTAGTTTAGCTGGCTGGCTGCAGACTTTATTTCAAGCCACAATATCTAAACAAGCACATCAAGCAGCTTCGATAGCGACACGATCGGGGGAATAAAACTATACATTCAAAACGCCACCGTGCCAACTTCAAGGTAGACTGAATGCATCCGTCGGCCCCTCAGTTCTGTGAAAAAGCCGGCTTATAGGTGCAGGTGTGAGACTGTGTGTCGCTGTAACAATGATGCTGTTTTTAAGTGGAGCACAGACGCCCCGGCGCCAGCGGTCATTAGATGTTAAATAACACACACAAACACATACAAACACACACACACACACACACTCAACCACCTAGGTTACCCCCTACCCACAATCATCATCATATTATTCCTGTAACACCAGAATAACACCTTATACCCCCTTTTTCCATCATCATCATTATCCATATTATTGTAAACAATTTACAAACTTATTCACAACAAACATAACAAGGAGACGTTTCATTATTTTGCCGGGGAAAACGAATGGTTTACATGTAAATGTAAACAAAAGGAAAATAATGTAACAACAAATGTTATTAATCATCATCATATCATCTTCTCCTCGATGATCCATATTCTTGAGAACAAATGTTCCAAACATCAACAGCAAGCGGATAGCCCAAAGAAAGATGATACAGGAGCAGTAAAAAAACAAACAAACAAAGGTAATATAAACACACCAAATCTTTAGATTTACATTAAAATTAGCGCACATAAAAACAAATAGCCTTCATTTTCTTCCTTGTGATATATTAACTTTTTCTTTTTTTTTTTTTTTTTACTCAGTTTAACTCCTCCGTTGTTTGAGTTGCACATTTGTGTTGGAGAGGGGGTGATGGCAGGTGACTATTGACACTCTGTCTGACCCTTCAGCACTTAAAGCATGACAGGTGCACTGTCTGCAAAATTGGAAACAGTAGACTCCACTATTCAACCACCTAGGTTACCCCCTATACCCACTTATTCGTCATTTCATTGTGCTGTACATGATCATTTAAGAGCTTTTTTTTCAAGAGTTTAAGAGCTGGTAAGAATAAATGGTTTTGATCCACCCATGAAATAGTGTCATAGCATTCTTTACATTGACATATAAAATTAGTGAAAATCAATATTTAGTTGTTTGTGTTGTGACTCATATGAGTTCACATTGGACTTTGTTTGTCTTCCTGTTTGAATGTGATCAAATAGTCTAAATGATGTATTATAAATCTATGGGAGCTGTTGTTTTTGTTTTCATGAAAGTTCTTATAGAGGTCCTGACACTTTCCAGCCGTGTCAAGCCTCTGAGATGAAAGGAAACCATCCAAACTGCACAATAGGATTTTTTTTTCTTCCTCCAAACACCTGCCATCAGTCTGCCTATTGGAAAAAACATTGTTGCACTTTAAAGCCATTTCAGACCTCTACAAATATGAGACGCTACTACACACGCACAAATTTGGTGCGATTGCTCTCTAAAAATGTCAACAATGCAAAGACAAGTCGGGGTCCAGGGCTCCCTCCTCGCTGATGGGGACTGCTTCGATATGTGGCACGACTACATGAAGCTGGGCAGGCTGCTGGAGAGGCTGTGCCGCGGGCGTGAGGAGGACCACAGAGACGCCGAGGGCCCAAAGAAGGACCAGGCCGCGCCGTGGAGCCACATCCAAGTCTCATCCCGGCAGGAGGAGTACAAACACTCCACAGAGAGCAGCTCGGCCAGCAGCCTGTCTGACACCAGCTGCAGCGGGACTTCCTCAGTCTGCTGCCGCTTCTGCAAGCAGAACGGAGAGTCTCCGATGGTGTACCGCTCACACAAGCTGAAATCCGACGAAGGGAGAGTCACCTGCCCCATCCTTCGGAACTACACCTGTCCCATCTGTGACGCCACCGGGGACTACGCTCACACACGCAGGTACTGCCCGCAGGCGCAGCGGCGCGAGGCTGCGAGGATGCTGCGAAGGGGCACGTTCTGGTAAGCTGCTGCTGATGGACACTGAAAGACTGAGGACACTGAAAAGACTGTAAATAATTACCAAAAAAAAAAAAAAAGAAAAGTTTTTGGCCATGTGTTCATGTGCGCACAGACTGTTTCAGGTATAGAAATGTGCAGCTTGGAGTGAGATGTTTCATGTTTGGAGCTTCCCTATGTTTTGTAAATATTTGGATTGTAAATTTTCTGAAGTTTTCTAATGCGACGTCTATGTTGCAACAGACTTGGCTGCACTTGTTGGACACTAATTTTGCTAATAAAACCTGATTCTACTGAAGCCTGATTCCGTTTTTTTTTTGAAATACCAATATTGTTGTGCACAATTTTGAGGTACTTGTACTTTACTTGCTGGATTGGATATGAACTCAGTTACGAAGCAGGAAGTTTCTTCATCTCAGCTGATAGGATTTTTTTTCCTTTTCATTCAGTCCATGGTTTGAAAACAAAGGGCACACGAAGCAGATCTCTTAATGCTGATGATATACATTTCAAACACGTACACGTGCTGAAGGGTCATAAAGGCTTGGCTCTTACACAACCTGCCTTTTATGAAATAAAAAGCTCCTCCTCGACAGCTGTCTTTGTGTTGCATTTTCCCTGCTTTCATCCACGATCAACGGTCTGTCTTTATTCATGTTAATATCGGTGCCATTTGGTCTTAAGACTGAGTTATCATCAAGGTCTGCTTCTTACATTATAATGTGCTTTGACTTATAATCCTTGTGCTTTTTAGATAAGTCAACTTAGCCACAATGGCAAAACATAACATTAGCCTTCTGATTGCCATGGTGCTGGCTTTGATTTTCTTCATTATTACCATGGTGTTCAACGTTCTGGCAGGCCCGGGAATATGTAAGTCCAAGTTTTGATGCTTTATATATTATTTTGTTATGTATAAAATTTAAATTCAATGTAATTATTTATTGTACCCTCCCCCCCCCACGAGCCCCCCGCACACAGAGCACAACAGCACAACACACACAGATCCATTTTTGTCGACCACTGGTAATGTTTCGGATGAGTTTGAAACCGAGATCACGCCAGCAGGATGGACCTTCGCCATTTGGTCAATCATTTACACCTTTCTGGCTTTAGTGTTGCTCTACCTCTTCTCCGGCATCTTTCGGAAGTAAGAACCTGCCTAAATTGAAAGTTTTTCATCTTTTCAAAAACAATCAAAGGTTATCTTTCTCTCCTGCACTCTACCTGGCATGTTGAAGTGTACTGTGATTTCTTTCTCTAGGAACGTCTATGGTTACGTCTACTGCAGCCCTGCTGTTTTGCCACACGGATTTTACGTGGCTTGGTGCTTGAACCTGGGCTTCAACACTGGATGGTTGTTCCTGTGGGACAGAAAGTGAGATAACACCTTTTTCTTCATTTTCAACTGAAATCAGTCTGCAATTTATTTCACAGTGTTGAGAAACCATCTTCATTTATATTGTTACAGGTAAACAATCGGTATTGGTAGCACATCTTTAACGGAAAACAACAGTGTCCAGTGCAGATAGTAGACACATGCATTGGACTTTAAGGTGGATTTGGAGTCCTATGTTGTACAGATTGTCGTGTAGATAAAATTGACCTGGCTTGATTGAAAAAAAAGCAGGATATCCACACAAGAAACGCTTTTATTTTTTACTTTATTTCAACTGATCACCGTGATTAAACATACTTTTTTCTATCTGTCATCTCCATCAAAGGTTGATTCCTGCTGCCCTGGCTTTCCTCATCCTGATCGCCTTGACTAACTACATCATGATATTCTTCTCCTGCTTTGGTCTCCATAACTACGGAGCCTGGCTCAACAAATACCACCAAGCAGACCTGTGGCTCCACCGTGTCTTGGTGAGAAGTGCAGCTCAATTTCAAGTTTATTCTTATCTGCTACCTCCCAGCAGCATCTTTTGCGCCAACTTTTTTTTTTAACTAATGTTTTTCTTTTAAAGACATATCTGCCTCCGTCTCAGCATCTAAGTCTTTTCTGTTGTCCTGTATTGCAGATTCAAAATGGAGTTGCCATCTATGCAACATGGACAACCATCGCATCCCTCGTGAACCTGGCTGTTGTGCTGAAATACAATGCAAACATGTCCCAGGCGGACGCCGCCACTGTCTCTCTCGCTGTTCTGGCTGTAGTGTTATTTGTGTGGTAAGGGCAAAACAAAGGAAAATCATTTCAAATTTATAAATAAAAAGTAGAAAACATATTTCTGTAGCAAATGTATCGTCTCTCTCTCACAGGTTTATGCTGGAAAACTCTGTCCTCGACAAACACGTGAGGTTCATTTTCACCATTTACCCTGTTGTGATCTGGGCGCTGACGGGGGTAGTCATGAAAAACACTGCAGCTTCTTCTCGTAATAATATCTTCACTGGTGAGGAACTAAAAAAAAAAAAAAAAAAAATCTTAATCTTAATCACATCACTTGAATGTTTCATACATTTTTCTATTAATTTTCCCCTCAACTACTGCAGAGACATACTGTATTTGCAAAAGCCGAGATATAATATAATGTTTTTCTTCCACTATAGATGCCCTGTTGGCTGTAGCCTGTTTTTTTTGTAGCGCACGGGTATTTTTGGTCACCTGGAAGCAAATCAAACAGCCATTTTACAAAGACTTCAACCTCGAGGTCCTGTCTCCGATGGAGGTCGCTGAGAAGCAGAAGAAGATATTTAAGTGATGCTGAGTGAATATTTTTCTCTGATGAACCTTGGTGTTAGAGCCATTGTTGTCTCTGTATGAGATCTACTTCTAAATGCTTTGTGTATGTTGTAATTGATGACTTTTGTTTTGCGTTGGGAGACACTGCTGACACAGGATGAAGCTTCAAAACATAAAGGCGATGTGAAATTAAAAGATGCTGAAGCTGTCAATACGTCGTATACTCATCCTGTGCTCTGACATCCCTGACAGACACAATTCATGATGCACTTCACCGTTATTTTTCATACAAATGTGAATACAATTGTGTGTCTTTGTGGAGTGATTATAGAGATAATGAACTGTTTCATTAAACAGTACAAGAAACATCCCTGTAGATATAGAGTCTGGATGATGGATGACGGTACTGATCATTCTGCATATCATAAAATCAGGACTACTTTGTGTTGCTACTCTTCTGCCTCCGCTGCTTGTTGAACCACATTGTCTTTCCATGTAATTGCACTGTACTTCCTGTCAGATTTTTATGCGCTTTATTGCTCCATCCTTAGCCTTGTAATAATGTTCCTGTCAGTGTTTGGTACCTGCTTTTCCATTCCCAACATCCCTCTTCTTCTTTCTCTCTCCTTTGCCAATTGTAATTATTACATTTACGGTATCTCTTAATCAGATTATACTTACATATCACCCAGTTGCAATGATATCTTCACTGGTAAGACAAAGATAGTTCAATACGAATGATACAGCTTTACAGCTATGTTTTGTTTCAAAATGAACTATCATCCATTTATTGCCAATATTCCTCTTTAACCTTGACTGACTGCTCTCTGGACCTTTTATGGCTTTTTTCTAACATTGCTTGCTAACACAACTCATTAGGCTCTGATACGGAGACTATTACAACACCTTACAGTATAGACTCTATATTTTAAACATTTGCCAGAATTTATTTTCTATCAAATGCCAACGTATCTTGCAATTATTACTTTGGGTGAAAAAGCTAAAAGTTGAAGATGAAACACAGTAAAAAAAAAAAAATGGTGGCTCAGGACTTTTTCTGTTGAAAACGAAACAAAGAAAATTTTCAGTTTTCATAAACTTTCCACATGTTCACAATTCACAAAAAATTTAAGTGCAAAAGTCGGCAAGAGTTTCACAGTTTAGGAGCCAAACCATTTATGAAAAAGACATAACGTGGTGTGATTGTCTGTATGGCCTCTGTATTTACTGCATAGGACTGAGTATTATCACTTGCCCTGCTCCTCGGGAAGGTCAAAGGTCAGGTTCTAATACAGGTCAGGCTCAGGGATACTTAAAAACATTCTAAGAATTTTCTCATTCAGTACAAACTACTGAGATGAACCAAATGAAACTAAGTACTAGGCTCTATAATGGTTTCTATTTTCTATAAACTGAAAGTCTGGATGTCTCACTGTGGTAGTTCTTTACCAAATATGTAGACTAAAAAAATTAAATACATTTACCAAAATAAAATATTGTATTAATTTAGAAGCAACATATATGAATGATTTCCTAATTGTGGCATGTATGTGGGAAAATATTGACAGTTTGTCTTTTATGATCCACTGCACCGAGGCAACAATGTATACAAGATAAGAGACGCACGTGACGCTTTGTGAGGTGGTAAACTTTCCTCTTACACAACCAGCTATTCTATAAAATAGGCAGTCCTCAGTCACACTCACTCCTGGTCTTCACTCAGGGAGAAGCAAAGAAAGGTATGTGTTGTTTGCCTTTATCGTGTCTTAATCATGTGGGCACTCTTTATGTTAAGCTGGCAACCTTTTATTACCCTGAAACGCAGCGTGTTGCAGTGGCATGTGGACAGGTCTAACAAACATACTACTGTATATACAGGTAGTTTTGAAATGAGTAGTTTCCAGTCTAATTCTGTCTTTAAAATTTCAATGCTAAACATAATTCACTTAGAATGACTTTTTTTAAGTATTCCCGGTGAAAAGCTTCAGAAAAGGTTATAAGACGGCTGGTGATTCACGAAAAAGCTGTAACTTAGTGCAACTGTCTATATGGCCTCTGGATGTACTCCATAAGGTGAATGATTATCATCACTTGTATCACTGCCCCTCAGGGAGGTCAGAGGTCAGGTTCAAATGCAGGTCATCACCACTGAAGTTGAGAGGGATTAACTTGGATGTTTCAGAACTTCTTTTTCAGTACTTTTCAACATATGAAAATAACTGTGTGGTTATGTGCATGTGGCTTAACTAAAATAATCTTTTCTATTTTTGAATCGTTGCCATTTATCACAGTGGATCACAATGGGAAAACATAACTGTGGTCGTCTTGCTGCAATAGTGGTTTCTGTTGTCGGCTTTGCAATAAGCTTAGTGTTCAATGGGCTGTCAGTCGTTGGGATAGGTAAGTCAAAAACCTGTTTTTCTTTTAGATACTTGTTGTTGCTTGTAGAGGATGTTAAGTGACACTGTGAATGGGCACTGCGGGATTATTGAGAAATAACAAATATTATGTGAACATGTCATAAGCCTCTATAATCTTGCCTAATGTTTGCATTACGTCTCCCTCTAGGTCCTTATAACACCACTACAGCCAATGTGTCGGCTGTGTTTGACACCCAGATCACACCTTCAGGATGGACCTTTAACATCTGGAGCGTCATTTACATCTGGCTGACGGCCATGATTATCTACATCCTTGCGAGTCTTTGCAGAAAGTTGTGACCAAATTTTATTTTTTTTTTTACATTTTCATGTTTAAAATGTTAAAATAATGCAAAGCATTCCCAAACGGGTCAAAAAGAATAATTGTCTTTCACAAGCAGAATAATCGGGGAATATATAATACCTGTTATACCTATTGTATATATATATATTGCCTGTTTGAGATGACACATTTCAGTTGCTTTTAGAGCCACAAACAAGAATCAGTGACTAAACTGACAATTTAACACAGATCAAATGTTTGACTTTGGCTCTTTTGTCTTGTAGGAATGGTTATGGCTACGTTTACTGCAGCCCTGCAGTGCTGCCTTATGGATTCTTCATTAGCTGGTGCATCAATCTGTGTTTCAATATTGGCTGGCTGCTTGTTTGGGACAGAGGGTGAGCGTTTTGTCCACTGGAGCTTTTAAAGTGGCTCCGTTGACAGTTCCTCATAAATAAGCTCGCTGTGGTGCATATTATAGGTTTATGTCTCACTATGTTTTTACAACAACTTGTACAACTGTAGACTCCCGTATCGGCTTTTTTCAGACATTCAAATGAAAATATGTTTTTCCGCTGTTATTGTCCTTTACTAAAGAGTGATGATCGCTGCACTGGTTTTTCTCATCCTGGTCATCTGCACAAACTACTCCATGATATGCTTCATCTGCCATGGGCTTCATATTTATGGACCTTGGCTCAAGAAGTACCACAATGCAGACCTGTGGCTGCTCCGCGTGTTGGTTAGTACGATAAATGTACAGCATTTGCATCATTAAGTGTATATGCTAAGGTTTTAATCTTGCATGTGCCAGGTTATAGGAGCCTGTTTTGTTCATGTGGTTTAAATGCATAATGTTTACTAGTGATTTTCTCAATATATTAAACTAAAACACTTCTTAATACAGGTTCAAAATGGTGTAATGATATACACAACATGGACAACCATTGCAACTCTAATCAACCTGACCATTGTACTGACTTATGATGTAAAGATGTCCCCAACGGATGCTGCCACCATCTCATACTCTATTTTGGCTGTTTTGTTGTTTGTGTGGTAAGTGGTCGTAATTAATAATGCAAAATCTCAGATGTGCATGAGTGAGATTATGAAGCAATGTGTTTGTGTTGGGTGTTTCACAGGTTTATTCTGGAAAACATTGTCTTGGACAAACATGTGCGGTACATCCTTGTCATCTACCCTGTTGTGATCTGGGCTCTGGCTGGAAACCTGGACAAAAACTATGACGCCGAATCACCTACTCGCAACGGCATCTTCATTGGTAAGACACTGTAGACAGTTACATATGAATTATATGTGATAAATATTTGATAATCTCTACAGTTGGCTCATAAACAACATCATAAAAAGAGTGAATAAACACAATATTAAGGAAACCATATACTGAGTACAACCTATTGTGACTTTTCAGTAAAATAAATCCACAGTAAAGACAATCTAATTACAGCACATGTGAAAACAATGCTCACATTTCCTTTTCATCTCTAATAAATGAGGAACTATTATAATGCTAAGACTGTGCACAGCAGAAATATTGGTGACCACAAATATCTGGTAAAGGTTGTACTGACTGTATTTTCATATCTCAGCTGCGCTGTTGGCTTCAGCCTCTGCGCTGTTCATCACACGGATTGGCTTGGTGATTTGGAGACACATCAAACAGCCACTTTACGAAGATGTCAGCCCTGACGCCATGGAACCGATGGAGATTGCTAAGAAGCAGAAGAAGATATTTTGCTAAACATATTTCTTAACATTTTTATAATATAACATACTGAGGGTTCACGCCTTATGTCATAGTAAAACGTGTAATTGTTTAGCATTTTATATTGTTGATAATAATTAACAAATTTAATTTTAATGATATATAGCATGTTTTGAAATGCACTAAAGTATAACTTGCCTCATTTTGATTTACCATATTCCTCTTTAACCTTGACTGACTGACTTTTTATGGCTCTTTTCTAACATACAGATTGCTAACACAACTCATTAGGCTCTGATAACACCTTACAGAATACTCTATACTTTAAACATTCGCCAGGGTTTGTTTAATGTTTGTTTTATAATTTTCAGCAATTATGTCTAATGCTCTGTAACTGCAGTACCATTATGATTTATGTCTGTATTATTGACCGTATTATAAATTCAATCTAGTTTGAATTTAACAATGATTAACCTGTAGGGGGCAGCAACGCGAGGCGCCCTGTTTGAGTCAAGTCTGGCGAAAAATAAAGTGTAGAAGAAAAAGAACATCCTGTGAACTCTGAGCGGTTTTTTGCCCAGAGAATTGTTTTTCAGGCAGCAAGTCCACGGCGATCCAAGGCTTTGTCCACCGGTTAGACAGACGTTTATGCTACACTTTTATTACGTTTGTTATTTTTTGGTTTTAGTGGAAGATTTCTGTGGCGGAGATTGTAGGTTATCACCTGCCAAATTAGCAAAACATTAGCGATAGTGCTGCTGAGAGACTGAACTCAGGGCACATAACCGGAACATCAGAATGCGCGGGTTACTTACAAACTGTAAACAGCGGTATTGTTTTGCTAACGGTAACGTTGGTAATCAAGTGAACAAAACAACTGGCCCACCAGCCTTCACATAATTGTGTACTTATTCCTGACGTGATTTTTACAGATTGGAGTCAGATGAATGCATTCTAGGGGGAAGTTAAAAAAAAGAGGTATTGAAATCGAAATGATAGCTAGCTAGCTGCTAGCTTGACTCTCGCCGTCGGAACAGTTGTCTAACGTTATCGTCAAAAAGAAGACATAGCTGGCTGTCATAAATGGAGACAAAGTACCCTACCTTGGTGAGTTAGAGGCTTCTTTTTGTGTGTACATATGTCTGTTGTGCTCCAGAAAACGGAGGACCGAACAAACATGTAACAATAGCCAAAAGACGAGAGAGGGGGCTGACCCCACTTGAGCAAACGTTGAACCTCACTCGGTTATCCCAGCTTTTTAAACAGCTAAAATAGTATCCGACTGTAAATGCTACCTCCGTGAAGGTTATAATGTAATGTTTTGTGTTGTTTTAGAGATGAGTTGATTCAACTTCACGGTTATTGTGCAAGCCGTGGTCTGGGATTATGTTACATTACAATATGTTATACTCGGGTTGGGGGGTTGTCCATAATTCAGTTTTCCTTTACCAGTCGCCATAATTTTGTACTTTTGGGTAAAATGGCGAGATACATTTTTGGACAAAGTAACGAAGAAGTGGTTGCACAACTATCAAAATTGATAGAAAACATCGCAAATTAAACACATGGAAAAATAACATATAAAGTTAAAGGTAGAATTTCATTGTATGAAATGGCTAAATTATGTTAACCCATAATGATGAGCTGCGTCCTACTGTCTTTTTTTGGAGGTGGGGGCATTAATTTCCTTCAATATATTTAATCTTATATGTAAAGTATATTCAAATTATAGAATATTTTTTAAAAGAAGAAGGGCTGCTGTGTTAGGGAATAAACTACAGTAATTTTAGCTCCGTGTACCTAATTGCATAGAATAGCCTAGGGCATAATATTCAAGTGATGTTGTTTACCAGTTTGCTTTTTCCCAGTAATTTGCAATGTAACCAAATTACAATAGTCACAATTAAAACATGGGGCTAATTTTCTATGTACTTGCTGTCTGTTCACAGAGGAGACCAAAGAGGAAGCTCTGCTACCTTACAAACAAAGAAAGGTACATTTGAACATGTTGTTTCAAAGGGAATGTCTTGCAGTTTTATAACTTAAAATAGTTTCAGTGTTCATGTGCTCTGTGTTTTACTAAAGACAGAAACTAGATAGTTGACAATTGGGATTTGCATCTTACCCACCTCAAATATAATAATTACAAACTGGAGATTATAGTTTTAAATAATGTTTTATCTCACTTTATTTCAACTGTTACAGCTATTTTAACTTTGACATTTGTGTTTTCAGTGTGACTAAACAATGGCAAGGAACACTGACATTGGGAGATGTTGATAAGATGTTTGATGACTTGGGTGAGTTGAGTATGTCATTCATTTGCTTAGTTAGCGTTGCATTTTTATTGTGTTAACCTATACTGTACTATTCTTTTCAGATTCTTGCTCAGAGGATGACCTCTTTGCCCCTTCTCTTACGCTCCAAACCTCTGATTGTGAGACAAACCAGAGTGAGAGAGAGGCTTCACCAGTCCCACAGGAGGCACCCCTAACCAAAAAACCTCCAATATGCCAGATGGTAATGTCAGGTGTTCTTCTGCCAATACATATAATATAATAATTTACATATAAATAGTCAAAAAGCATCCTGTTTTGACATAAAGGAATTTTATCTTAATATCCGCTGGGCTTTCTGAATGTATATAGCCACAATGTGCCTGAGTGCAGCAGCTCAATTAATGACATATACAGTTTCCACTTTCTGATTATGTACTTGTTGTTAGACCCAGCAACTCTTATATGTCCTCATGGACTTAATCTTAAATGAGACTAGATTTAATACTTTTAGAAGTGCTGAGCCATTGAATGTATGTTTTGTAATTCTAGGGTCCTAAGGGAGATGTCCTGCTTCCTGCAACAGTGTCACCCAGTCCTAACCTGGACATTGGTAAAATACTTTTATTCAAACTCTTTCTAAATGTACATATTAAATGTGTTAAATGTTTTTCTTGTTTAAGGCTGGTCCTTTTTTCTTGTTTCAGATTTGGACATCCCGTTCGACGTGCACGGACCTGTGAAGACATCCAGCCCTATTGAAGATAATGCGGTTGTAGAAAGTTTAGAAGAGGAAGGCAATGAAAAAAAGCAAGTTGAGCCCCCAATCTTCTTTGACTGTGAAGATGATATAAAGGAAGACGCCAAAACCCAGAAACCCCAGTCCGATGGGCACATTAAAGAGGAGTAAGAAATACATTCACTTCTGTAATGTAGGAAATGTGTAAAACGTAGGATTCTTGTGTCAGCGCTAACATTGTGAGTCAGCATATTTTTTTTTCCTCATTAATCCTTCTGTCAGTAATAATTCTCATTTCCTTTAGAAGTGATGACTGTGAGTTGGTGTCTCCTCCAAGCGCGATTACTTTTAGCAAATCCATGATGTCCAGTCACAAAAACAAGCTGCAGGGTTCATGGTACGGGCTTCTTCGTTCTCAAAATAATGATTAGTTTGCTGCAAGCGCTTCATTGGTATCTGATATTGAATCAATGAGCATATGTATATTTATTTTTTTATTTTTCTCTGCAGCAAAGAGAGTCAACCAGTCAGAGAAAAAACACACAAAAAAACTCAAACACCTGTCATGGAGGGCAAAAGAAAAACCGCAAGGTAAGAAGTGATGACTTTTAATGTATAGTTAGTTATTGTGCACTTTTACTTTGGTCCAGTGACCTTACACTACTGGATATTTAAAGTAACAGTATCTTCATTTGAGAATTTATTAACTGGAAGCAAGATTTACTATTTGCATACATTGCACTGGCCAATCTCTGAGTGGCCAGTCCAACTGCCACTAGTAACAGACAGTAAATAGATTTGTAAATTTTGACCTCCCCAGAATTTCTCAATTTAAGAGTTGTAACAAAGAAATGTGTTGTGTTAGAATATATTACAGTGGGAATACAAGAATAATATAATTCAAGTATAATTAGAGTCTAATATAACAGTAACTTAACTAGACAATGACATCATTATGATCATGAATAACTGTAAATTAAAATAACAGCAAAAGTGTGATAATAAATCGAGTCAAAAAATATTTATTTCTCATTACTTACTTTACTTTTGCAATTTAAAAAAAAAAAAAAAAAAAAAAAAAAAAAAAAAAAAAATGGAGAATGAAGAATGTAATCCCTGAAAAAAGTCACACATTGTTTCATGCAGCAGTTAAATATGCTGTGCAATTTCTAATNCGCGATTACTTTTAGCAAATCCATGATGTCCAGTCACAAAAACAAGCTGCAGGGTTCATGGTACGGGCTTCTTCGTTCTCAAAATAATGATTAGTTTGCTGCAAGCGCTTCATTGGTATCTGATATTGAATCAATGAGCATATGTTTATTTATTTTTTCATTTTTCTCTGCAGCAAAGAGAGTCAACCAGTCAGAGAAAAAACACACAAAAAAACTCAAACACCTGTCATGGAGGGCAAAAGAAAAACCGCAAGGTAAGAAGTGATGACTTTTAATGTATAGTTAGTTATTGTGCACTTTTACTTTGGTCCAGTGACCTTACACTACTGGATATTTAAAGTAACAGTATCTTCATTTGAGAATTTATTAACTGGAAGCAAGATTTACTATTTGCATACATTGCACTGGCCAATCTCTGAGTGGTCAGTCCAACTGCCACTAGTAACAGACAGTAAATAAATTTGTAAATTTTGACCTCCCCAGAATTTCTCAATTTAAGAGTTGTAACAAAGAAATGTGTTGTGTTAGAATATATTACAGTGGGAATACAAGAATAATATAATTCAAGTATAATTAGAGTCTAATATAACAGTAACTTAACTAGACAATGACATCATTATGATCATGAATAACTGTAAATTAAAATAACAGCAAAAGTGTGATAATAAATCGAGTCAAAAAATATTTATTTCTCAGGAACATTACTTTTGCAATTTAAAAAAAAAAATGGAGAATGAAGAATGTAATCCCTGAAAAAAGTCACACATTGTTTCATGCAGCAGTTAAATATGCTGTGCAATTTCTAATTTAGCTAAAGAACTTTGCTCAGTCAATTCTATTTTTTTTTCTTTTTGTTTATCACCAGGCAAGAATCTGAGTCTGAACCCGCGGCTCCTGAGAAACGATCAAAAAGTGTTCACGGCCAGCCACCGGCAGAGATGTCCACCCGTGTGGGAAAAGACATGACAGCGTTTCTACAGAAGCTTAGAGATGCCAGACAGCCAAAACCTGCATGGTGAGTTAAGATGGGAGTACATCTTTGTAATTTGTAAATACTAATGGTATTTAAATATGAAAATATGAAACAATGAAGAATCCATTCAATATTCATTTTTCTTTGTTGTTTTTTTGTTGTTAGTTTCAGGAAGTCGCTGTCACCAGTAAAAGTTCCCAATCCTCCTGAACAAGAGGACGATTTCCTGATTTTGGAGGATGATACACCTCTTTGCTTTTCCATCCCAAGTAAAACTGCCACCAGTAAAAGACAGAGCAGAACTTCCAGCACAGACAAAGACAGTTCAACAGACAAGGGGACGAAAGACAGCGCACTAGAGACTGCGCAAAAAGAGGAGGAACCAGAAAAGGCCAGTGTCAAACTGAGAGTTCAGCCTGTTAATCAGAAAATGAAGAAGAAGAAGAAAGGGAAAGAGAAGAATGAAGTGAGTGGGCCTGGAAATGATGAGGATGATTTGGCCAGTCCTGAGGATCCCCCTGCAGGTGACATGGTGGAACCAGAGCAACCAAATAAAAGGAAACAGCAACGACTCAAGAAGATTCCATCAAAAGAGAGTGACAAGGCAAAGGAGGAACCTAAAGACACAGTCAGCAGGAAACCAGATGAAGAAGAACCAACTCAGAAAGTGGAAAAGAAATCTCAGAAATCCTCTGAGATGAAAAGCTCGAAGCTGTCGGAAGATGGGAAAGAAAAAGCCAAGACAAGCAAGGCTAAGTCATTAAAGGGGACCAGAAAAGCGAGGCAGGGCCCCGGAGACATAAAGGAGACGGTGTATGACGAGGCTGTGAAGGAACAAAGTCGGGAGCAGAAGAATAAGAAGCATGCAGATGGTCGAGACCTGGGTTCCCTCTCAGGTAAAAAACCTCCTACCCTTAAAATCTCTTCCCATGTGTTGACATTGAATCTTTCTGAATGATTTCCTCCTGTTTCCTCCCGCTCCTTTAAAGCCGGAGATGAAAATACATCCAATTTTAAGCCTTTGTGACATTTAAGTAGCAAATTTATTGGTATAATTTGAACTTTAAACATCTTTGTTTTTGTAGTAGCAACAGCTGTAAGTTCAAACACATAAAAAAAAACACAAATTCTCTGTGATATCCCCTGTTTTTTGTTTTTTTATCTGTTTGGCTATACTTTTATTAAATTCATTATTATTATTATTAATTTATTTTTTATTGGGCTCCCCATTAGCTTCCACAACGTAGTTGCTTGTCGAACCCCGTTCCACACTGAACAAAAATGTAACAATAAATTGAGTCTGATACTGTATCAGTGACACAAGAAAAAGAAGAATAAGCCAAACATAGTTTAGTAACTTTACATATGGAAAGGGAAGCATTAGAAACTTGGAATGGAAACATGACTATAACATCATATGTACTGGAAAACATTTTTAGCAACAATTTTCCATCCTTCATTCAAAATCAGTATTACTAATTTTTAAAGGCATTTTTTTTTTCTCTTCCACAGACAAAGAAATGATGAATTCTGATGCGCAGACAGCGAAGGACTTAGCAGACGGAAAGGCTAAACAGAACACGCTGTCGGTCGTGTCTGAAGGGAGCTTGTCTGAAGAAAGTCAGAATCTCGGGAAACGGAAAAGAAAACAGACCGGACAGTGGTGGTTGAGTTGTAGTCAGAGCGCAGAGGAAACAAAGGCTACAGACAACCAGCCAACACTCAAGAAGTCCAAACAGCACAACAAAGAGCCCAGCGCAACAGAACCATCACCTGTGAAGGCCAAGAAGGACAGACCGTTAAAGAAAAGAAATCAGAAACAGCCTGCGCCGTCGTCCAGTCAGAGCACAACTTTAGCTAAAGAAAAGAAACCAAAACAAAATAAAAAAGGGGGAGTCTCACGAGAAAAGACAAAAGCAGCAGATGAAGTATTTAACACGATTGAGGCAGAGCAGTTTGAAGAGCAGCGGCAGGAGGAGGAGGTCCCGGATCACGACCTGGATCCTGGGCACTCAAGCCCTTTGGTCTTGGCACACAGAGACCTCAGTCTTAACCCAGGTAAGGTCAGAGGTGGAAGAAGTACTCCTTTTCAATTTCTTGCATTTAAAATCCTACTTGAATATTAAAGTATTTGAGTTGTTTCTTTATTGTTAATACTCCCTCAATGCATCTTTGTTTAAGCAGTGTTTTACTGTTGTAGCTGCTCAAGATGAAGTACTATATATACAGCTCGATTAGTCCAGTGGTTCCACAAGATAAATCTGAGGGCCAAGAAATGATAGATTGAAGACGAGAGAAGAAAAAACACAGTTCTGCTACAAAAACCTGTTTTGATTTTTTGACTTTTTTAAATCTTGAACTGATAATGATATATACACGTTTAAGTTCCAACTGAAATGTGTTTTCAGTTTGTAATCAGGTGTAACTAATACCTGAATTTGAGTTTTTGCGAATATGAAGACCAACCAATAAGGTTTGTAACTTACTAAGATGTTCCATGTGTGGTGTTTTACAGGGGAGCAGTTATTTCAGAGGGTCTACAATCATGTCTCCGGCACACCAGGGCGTCTCTCTCCCAGAAGACCTCTGGAGAAGCACAGGGCAGCAGAACGAGAGAGACGGAGCAGGAAACCTCCTGGTAACTGGTGGACGGTTAATGATATGTCCGAGGACGTGGGGAGCGCCTCCTCACAACCTCAGCAGCTTAATCCCAAGGAGCCCAAATCTCGTAAGGACAGAAAAAAACAGAGCAGATCTCCTAGACTTGGAACTCCCAAAAACGGCAACATGTTGGTCTCATCAAAACCACTGGGGGGAGCTCATGTTTCTCCGCTGAAAGTGAAGCCACTGTCTGCTCCAAAGACTGTCAAACGCTCTCTGGCCATGTTTAAAGAAATTTTCACATCGGGTGCAGAGACACCGGCTGTACTCAGCAGCAGAGACAAAGGTCAGAATAACACACATAATGTCAACGCGCCTCCTGCTGAGGAAGTCACTGTTACTGACTGTTACACGGTCAGTAAGACTGATAAAGAGATACTCAGCTTGGATGCTGGGGAGTTCAGGAGCTCGCAGAACAGCTCCATCAATCACGACGTTCCACAGGACAACAAGTGTCAGCCAGAGAACATGTAAGGAAAAAAATATTGTTACTCTAAACTTTTCCGTCTTTTTTGTCTGCGTATGTTCATTTGTATCATGTTTACTTTTTATGGCAGGTTAAAAGATTTAAGAAGTGGACCATCCTCTATGATTGAGCTGGCCGAGTATGAGGAGAGTGACTCATGTATGTTTTTAAACATTAAATTTTATATTTCAGTCACACTTTTTGATTTACATATATATTTCTTTTTTTTCTTTATGTTGAGTGTTTCTATTTTCTTTTTCATTTTGGTCTTTTCCCACATATTTTTCTTCTTTAAAAGTGACACATACAACTCTTTATTACTATTATAAATAAATATATTATCATATTATAAATATAATCAGTTTGAAGGTTTGCATCTCTTCCTTGGTGCTGTTTTCTAGAACAAAACAGGTTTAGGGACACGTTTACACTGGGCTGCATTCAGTACATGGCTGTAAAGTTGCATGTAGCCCAGAGAATATATATGCACGAACAATTCAGACTTTTTATGGCTTACTTTATAACTCACGATAGAAACCAGAGAAGCCTGGGTGAATATAATGTTCATTGTTGACACAGTAGAGAGAAATGTCAATGTGAGTTCAGTCTTGAATAAATAAAATGTAAGATCTGAAATGTGGGCCGCCACACTACGATATTTACACCGAGCACTTTCACCTTCTTTGAAGAATTAAAAATGCAGCCTTTGATACCTGGATATGTCGCTCTCATCACCAGGTTAAACAGCTTCATCTGGTGCTTTCTTTGTTAACTTTAATCGACTTGAATGACAATTGTTTGAGCGACTTTGTAAACGTTTAAATGGTGAAAATTGAATTTTCTGATTGATCACCAAACTAACCATTGACTTTTCCTTTTATGTTGACTTTGTTCCAGGTCTGCCATCGTCCAGAGTTCATGCTGCGCTTTCTGTATCAGATCTGTGTGCTCCTCCTCTCAAACCGCTGACCTTACAGCCGAAAGATAAGGCCAACCTGACAGAGTGGTTTAGGACTCTCTGGTCTACCACTGTCAACGGTAAGAACATTTTATGTCTGATTTATACATATATTTGCACAGATTTTGCGGATACATGAATGTGGGGTTTTGTTTTTTTAGAGAAACAACGTCCACCAGGTTACAGTAGTCATCATTCTTGGACAAAATAACCACTCAGCATGTACAATATTTGCCTACTGCCATCTGCATACTTCATGGAGCTTAGCAGGTTTACTCCAAGAAAGAGTTTCAGCCCTGTTTATATTTAATTTCCAGTGTTGTTTGTTATGTTGTGTATTATTTAGACTTTTTTTTACATTCTGTATGAAGTGAGAAGTCTTTTCAGAGATGATCTTTGACCTCAAATAGGCCAAGATTCGATTTAGTTATGAACAATAATCATCCCAGTAGTTTATTTAAATTGTAAGATGAAACTTGCAAATGTATTTTAACAAACAAGGAAGTAAGGCAAAGACATTGTGAATAAAATGAATATATGAACAAATATACAGACTGATGTTCATCACACCATTGCATCAAAATTTATAATAATACTAAAGTAATTTTCACATCATACAGTGAGTTGAATTAGACGTTGCTTTTTATCTGTATTGTAGACAACGTGTTTAATCAAATCTTTAAATGATTCTTATGTAAGGATATAAAACACAAGTGATTTCTCACTAGACCTCTCATTGAATAATCTTTACTGTGTAACATGGTTTTAGATGGTACTGACATCACTCCGGACCAGTTTGACTGGTACTTCTATCAAGGCAGAGCGATCGGCGTCCTGGCGGATCTGAACTGTGGCTCCATCTGTAATGGAAAGATCCTGCTGGGCTCCTACATGAAGAAGCCTCTCTTGGTGGATCACAGCGCCACAACAGTCAGTCAATTCATTTTCTCATTATATTTCCCATACGATTTATGTTCTATTAGAGTCCCCCCAGACCTCTTATATATCGGCTACTTTAATTCTCCTATATTAATTTTGTTCTTTATTGTTTTGTTTTTTTTAAAGGTTTTTAACTTATTAACAAGCTCTGTGAATGTAACCATCAATGGCATGAAGTCCCACTTCAACCCAGGACAATCCTTCATGGTGCAGTGTGGTAAGAATACAATATGATCACATGTATAAATACTGAATTTAAGTTGTTTAATTTAATGAACTGTTTCCTCTCTCTAACGAACTTGGGAAATGCACAAACTTGTTAATTGTGACCACATATCTACTAAAACCTTTTAGCTTTTAGTAGTCTTATTATTAAGACTGTGTTCTGTTCACACAGGACATGCCTACAGCATCCAGAACGTCACTGCTCAACCTGCAGTTCTGTATTTCACCAGGATATCAGCAGAGAGTTCAGATTGAAGTCACCAGCTGGATGGTGGATGGATTACCAGCCACATGTTCCTAAGAAGTGACCAAATACCTAAGGGTTAAAGAAGAGACTGGTGATGTGTACAGTTATTTTTATATTTAAATAGGCTTACTTTCTGTATTGAAATATAAGTTGTAAATAGAAAAAAATGGGTGTAAGTTTTTAATGATCTTATTTGATCCTTAGCTTTCCTTCAATTGATCGATAAAACTGATTTGTGAATAAACTTTTGTGCTATTTGTTACTTGAGCTTCATTTGGTCATTTCCTTTGATTGTGCAGTTATTGCTTTCAGCCTCTAAAGGGCAGTGTGCAGCTGTAGTTTCATTTTGTTAAGCTGAGTTGTCAGCATGCAAAACAAGGCTCTTAATTTTGCTTGGGTTTAAAAACACTTGACAACAAATAAATAAATAATTTCATCAAAATGTTCTTTTAAAAAGTTTGTGTGTGGCTCTGTTGGTAATTCGGCAAACACAATTTGGATTGTTTCTAAAAATCGATTTTTTTTTTTTTTTTTTTACATCCATCACCGAGAACTCTACGACAAAAACTGAATACTCTTAAGATACAGTATATGGAGTTTGAAACAGTTTTTCAACAACCAAATGCACAGATGTGGAAGAAGTATTCAGATTCTAGCAATGATAATACAGTGAGTCCTCTTTAACCTATCACAAGCAAACGAGCTCATGCTGGTCTTTTTCAGTGTTATGTTATTTTTTATATTATATTATTGGATTATTATGGTTGCATTAACATGTAAGCCATCTGAAGGATTTTTTCCTTTTAATTAGGTTTTAGGTATTACTTACACATAGGTCCTAAAAGCTGTTCATAGTCTGTCTATTCAGAGCTGTGAATACACTGATGGAATCCACCTGGTTCAGTTACCAATAACAGTTCTCATAGCAACCAAGTTCCTGAGGGCTAAGTAACTACGTATTAGTATTAATCATCAAATGTCATGTCATGTCATGTCATGTCATATAATAATATATCAGTCTTATGTACTTTTATTGAAGTAGGTGTTTTCATGCAGGATTTTTACCTGTAATGTAGTATTTTACATTGCTGTGTTTGTATCCACCACTACCAAGGTTGTAGCACAGCTCAGGGACAGACTGTCTTCCCATGAGAAAGTATTCCTTATATAACGTGACTTAGAGTGAAAGTGATTCTTTGTTCAAGATTTGGTACGTAAAAGTCTCCACATGCAGTCGTGTTATGTGACTTTAGTTCGGGCTTGAATACACCCTGTAGGGAGGACTACCTACAGGTGGCATTACATAGTGTTAGCTGTGCTGTTGTTATCTCTATTCTCCTCGATCGAGCTTCAGTAAATGCTTCAGCTTAAGACCCGCGGGTCTGCTGACAACTCTTTGAGCAGCTCACATGATTTCATCACAAGCCACGTTTTGATGTTGCAGAGTAGTTGAGAGAAGTATTTCCCGACTTCACCAAGACTCCAGGTTGAGGAGCATTAACGATGCTTGACTTGGAGGCACAATGAGGGTTGCTGGTCCACTAGTGTTAACAGATAGTACGGGGGTCCATCATCAAAAAATAACTCTCCTCTTAAACAGTGTGTGTGTGTGTGTGCGACATCTTCGGAGTCATTACCATCCATCTCTACCCTGCTGTCTGCTCAGGCCTCCCCCTTACTTTTGAAAATATTTGGATTTTTTCATTTCCAACTCAGTGGATATAAATATATTCACATCACCAAATTGTAAATTAAAAGCTACTTCCCACATGTTACAAGACAGCGTAGAAGTCACCTGTTAGATCTTCTGTTGAAGGGAAACTCCACCAGTTTCAAATTGATGAGTAAATTAACATTGGTGGCAAAAATAAGAACTACAGCAGGTGGGAAAAGAAAAAACATTCACTGGAAAATGTAACGCATTTCTTTTAACCTCTGGTGCCGATAAAATAAAAACATTTTCAGATATGAAATTAGACCACTGAATGTTAAATGTAAACACTTGTAATGCCCTGTTTGTATTGTTCAGCACAAAACTGATCATAAAAAATCATAATTGAATAAGCAAGAGGTTTGTCACCAAACCGAGGAACCTGAAAAGCTGCCGCTCTCACACCGACACAACGCGCACCTTCTGGTGGGCAATAAGTCACACCCACTGTTCTGTCATTAAACATTTACTGACCTACTTCATGAAGGCTGAATAATTTTTCTGTAAGCAAATCAGTTATATTTTCTCCCCTCACCATACTATTGAATAGTTTATGATACAATGAAACAAACATGTTTCTGAAACAATAACCTTGGGATTGCTATCTGATATTTGAATAAGCCTTGACCCCTTCACCCTGCGATTTAGCTGTTAACTTGATAATGTAATATACATGGGACTGTGAAGATATATATATATTTTTTTTTGTAAATGAAGGTCTTTGTCTGTTTCTGCAGGCTACAAAATATCCATCACTGATGCAGACACCCTGACTGAGCCACTCAAATTAAATTAATCAACATCCATGACTTGAATACAAAACAAAGGAATAAAGAGTCTTCTCCACAGTAGTGCTTTCAGCCGCCTGCCAGTTTGATAATTTATCACTTTTGAATGTGTACTTTTGGCTGTATATGGTTCTCCAGCAGTCTGACTCGCCTCGGGGCAGGATCTCCTTCAGAGAAGTGGATGCTGCTGCGACCACCAGAGTACACACTGGAACGGCCTCCCAGGTCTGTAATTATAAACCATGTCTATGACCAAATATGCTGCCTGTAACACAACATCTGTGCAGTCCAGTGCTCAAGATACATCACATACACTCTGTTCCTGTGTGTGTGTGTGTGTGTGTGGGGGGGGGCACAAAAACAAAGTGTGAGTGACTTGTTTGTGGGAGAATTTGTGATCAGAATGAACATTTTAAGATGAAAGTGTTGGATTTTCATTTGTTAAGTGTCTGTTGGTGATTGTGAAGTATTTTTGGTTCATCAAGGCAATGAATTAACACGTTTTATCTCATGATGTTTGTTGACAAAGAAAAATGTAGAATAATGCTAGCCTTACCCTGCTAATGCTAACTTCAACAATATGACGTGTCAGGGTTAACTTGGACATCCTGTATCTATATTTCTCACTTTTTAGGCAGTAACTTCGAAGGCTAGGCTAGCTGTGTGAGTGTGCGCAGCAGTGCTCTTGAGCTAAATACTGACATCAGCATGCTAACATATGCTAATCAGCGCTAAGCACAAAGTTCAACTGAGAGAATGTGACTTGTTTCTGCAGGTATTTGGTTATAAACCGCAAATTCAAGACGTGAATAGAAATGTCTGTGATCAGAAATAAAGTGAAAGGAATGGGCTGTGCATTTGTCTTGGCTGCCTTGACTTGAGGTAAAGTGAAAAATGCAAACACCCAGCCTTGGATAAGTTGGTTTAAGTGGGGAGACAGCCACTGAATAATGTATTCCTGAGAGTCTGCCTCACACACAGCTTAATCTCGGCACTCGCCGACAAAATGCACTTTCGTACTCACATCTCCATCCCTTAATGCATCTGACACCTGAAACAGTAATGAGTCATTTAACCACCAGAGAAAGCACACTTACCTTTGGTGGTCTCACTTCTCTCATGAGTATTAACATTGATAAAGTTTCCTCCCAGATGTCAAGTTGTGACACTGACAAGACTGATTTTTTGTTTTTTTGTTTTAATCTGCAGAGATATCACTCTTGGAATAAGAATTATTCCTCCAGTGGTGTAACCCAAAACGGTCGTTAGATCAAACTGAACATACTAAAAATTCAGCTGGAAGTGTGGTGTGCTGCTTCAAGCCTGCTCCAGAGATATGAATAACCTCTTATACTTTAGTCCTTCCAGTAGGAAATGTTTTGATGAAAGCATGTTGTTGTTGTTGTGATGTCTGGTTTGATGTGATTTCCTTTGCAAAGTGCCACAATATAGTAAAGTGCTTATCAGCAAATAACTTTTACTGTGAGAAAATGAGACTTCCAGACATTTCATTTAGGAACTGGAGTGTGCATCTTTTCTTAAAATATATGTTTTCAAACACATCTTTTTTCGGTGCGGCAAAAAGTTTCTATAAGCCACTTATACTCAGCAAATATTTACATTTCTGAATACCAAATTCAGCTCACTGCATTGTAATCCTGAATTGAAGCAGCAGAAAGAAACAGTATCAGTGAGTAACTTGGCCGCTCGTGAGCACATTCAATAATTGGAGAATATTAATTACACGGTATTTGCTTTCGCATGCCCTGAATTCATTTGTCCACACAAAGGCTATGCAAGTCTCAGCTCTTGGAACAGAATTCAAGCATTGAGTATGATTTCCTTCCTTTGTTAAACTTGGCTCTGAACACTCTAGCTAAGTCGTGCTAACAAGCACAACAGTGAATAATAATCTCCTTACAGTGAAGGTGTTGTGTATTCTGTTGTGTGTTGCTCTATAAATCATCTTCTAACAATCTAGGAATTCTTGCAGGTTGAGGCAAATAACCCCAAATTGTTTTTTAATGTTCATTTTAATTCTTCACACAATGGTGCAATTGATTTAGAGGGAGAATTAAAGGCTGTTAATGTTTTTTCTGGAAGAGGCATTTGTGCAACTCTTACACCCAGATATGCATCCTGAATTAAACAAGAAACAAAAAGCGTCACATTCAGGCTGATATCCCACATCCCTCTACCTCTGGTGTGTTGGTTTACATCCTGGTTACAACCTTGTTGACAACTAACAGAAGATGTTGACGCATGCAGCACAGAGACAACTGGACTTTGAATAAATCTCTGCACTCCCTGTGATTAATTATCCACAAAAGTTTTGCTGAAGACTTCATTCTTATAAACAACGTTCAAGTCACTAGGACAATAAATGATACACACAACCGTTGCGCAATGTGGAATTACACAGAGGAAACACAAAAACACCACTTATGTCTGAAGAAAATTCTCTTTACTACATGGTCATTTGAAAGACTGCCGCAATATTGTTTACATGCTTTATGACTTGAATTTTATGTTTGTTTATGATTGAATCAGAAGACGAAACATTTTTGCAGCATGAGATCTTTTTGGTTGTGTGTTGCATCTGTTGAGGGTAGTGCTTGGAGCAAGGTGTTGAGTCTTTGTGACGAGAAAGAAGGAAGCAAGGTTATTTTCCTTTTATTTTACAGGTTCGCTATTTTTCTCACCATTTCTTTCCGGAAAGTACATGTAATTTTTTTCTAATTATAGGGAATTAGAGACAGTTGC